GTGGGTCTCTGGTAAGCAGAGGCCCACAGGCACCTGGGGTGGGGCTAGGCTGCAGCCAGATGGATGCTGGGGAGCCATTGGTCTTCCTCTGGGGTACATAGGTGGAGAGAGGATTTCTGTACACGATGGTCTCCACTGCTAGTGTCCTGGGGCTTTGGGGTGTGGCTGAGTGAGCTTGAGAGTCAGAGCTAAAGGGCTGATGTGTGATTTACAAGAGGAGAAGTCAACAGTCATCCTCACTTCCCTCATTTGTGAAAGGGAGATAGTATCTCAGGGATTAGATGCCAAAAAATTGCGTGGAGATCCCTGACACAGATTGTAAACGCAGTGTTGTCTTCTCACATTAGAGGTGAGGCTAAAAGGACACCTCAGCAGTTTTCCAGCAGTTTCCCTGTGTGACTCTGCATCTTAGAAATGGGTTAGCAAGGGCTCTTTTCTGTCTTTCAAAGACTTGGCCTGAGTTCAAAAACTTGAAATGAAGCCAAAGGAAAGCGCCCTCCCAGCAGGCTGGGGACGCCACACTGGCCTGTGGTGCGGGGGCCTGGCCTCCTCAGGCTGCCCAGCCTTGGGACTCCTTCCCAGCAGCCTGACCTCATGGAGATGCACTCAGGATGCCTGATTAAGCCTGGCCCTGGCTGGGAGGATGACATTTCATCCAGTGTTGAAATCACTTGAAATTTCCCCTTGTTCATCCACAGATACAGAAATAAAAGATGCAACTCATGGTGTTGCTGAGGCAAGATCTTTATTGTTAGCCTTTCTTGTATTTTTTATTTTCATTCGCCCAAAGTAGATGGATCCAAGCAATAGAAGTCTCACATGTATGTGGGTTCTCCTATTTCACACACCCTTACATTTGATCAAAAGATCAAATTCTTTTTCGACTGTCTTTATCGATAGACTCTAGAGTTCTACAGCTTTGGTGCAGAGAATTTTTCTTTTCTTTTCTTTTTTTTTTTTTTTTTTTTTTTTTTTTTTTACCACTTTCACTCTGTGCCAAGATTAAGAGTTCTTTCTTGGGTTTGATGCTTGAAGCTGGGGCAGGAAGCCAAATTATTCTGTCTAAATGCCCTGGTCTAAACACTGTTAGTAACACACACACACACACACACACACACACACACACACACGCACACTACCAGTGGCATCCAAATTCCACACTTTCCCCTTTATCTCTTCTTCGTCAATCCCTCCCTCATCTGGGGGCTTCCTGCCTCCCTCCCTCTCTTCTCAGTAACAGGGAAGGTGCTCAGTTACCCCACCAGGAGCTGGGACTCACAGTCATTCTAAATGACCCTGGATGAAGCCTGCCCTGGCCCTCTCCGGCTTGACCAGCCATCCCACGGTGAGTCATCCTCGGGCTCCCATCCACAACAGCCTGAAATAACAGCAGTGCCAGGGCTATGACTCGACACTTTCCATTTTTATTAAAACTCTCGCTTTCCTCAAACCTGTTCAAGCTCATTGTCCTGCACACCCAGTGGTAGAGCTGGGATTGTTTGCAAGTGTTTCCCAAATCACCCTTTGAAATCAAGGCAAGAATCTGTCAACTCTCATTTGTGCAATTCCTTGACAGATTCAGGACAGCTGAAGCTCTTTGCTCACAGGGAGGATTTTTCTGGAGACAGTGGAGGAAAGAACTCTATAAAACAGGAGTTAGGGGCGAGGAACTAAAATTTATATACCCATTTTTTATGTCTATATCTAGTGTATATAAGAATCCCTCAGAAAGCCTACCCACAATGTTTGTGTCTAAGAAACAGAAACAAGGTCGAAGAAATCAGGGAACTAAACCCTAAAGATAAAAATCTCTTCGGGGCTGCAGATCCTTAAGATATATTACCTTCCAGGGTCATCTGAACGCCCGCCTAGCTGACCGTGCGGTGGCCCAGCCGGTCCCTTCGGCCTGTCCCCTCCCTTTCAGAGAAGCATGAGGTGAAAATCCCTCCACATTTAAACCACACGTGCTGATGCTTGCTATTTTGGCGCAGAGCTCATGTCTCCCTGACTTAATCTTTCCCCAAGGAGTTTCTGCACACTTCTTGTGCGGCGTATCGCAAGTTTCTTGAAAGAGCAGCTCACACACCACGCTGAGCTGTGCTGGGAAGGCACGAAACTTCGAAGCTTTGGTGGCTCAATCCCTGCACATATCACCATCTGCTCCCCTGACCTGACAGTGAGCGCCTGTCCCTTTTTGGCACCCTCTGCCTCTTCCAGTGCGCCCCTGGCCCACCTGGTCCTTCCGGGCCCTGCAGCTGAGTTGAGGCCTCCCTGTGGTTTCCTGAGCCTTCTGATGTCGCCCCCCACCCCACCCCCACCCCTCACCCCCACCCCCGCTGCAGCTGCTGAGTGAACCCCGCGAAATGCCCTGTGCACATTGGCAACCAGTTATTCCCCATAAAGTAATTCCAGTTGCATCTTTTTAGACAAAGAGCCTTAAGATACTATGCAGATAAATTTAAGAGCTTTACATGGATAAACACATACTTTGTCAATTAAAAATACTGAGCAGATAAGACATTTCAATAAGGAAAAGCTTGAATGAAATAAACCTCTATGGATTGAGAGGAGGGCTCTCCATTTACGCCAAAATCACAGATAACACTGAACAATAAACCGCTAGTGCTAGCTGGACCCAAATGTTTATTATCGCCTCCCTTTTCCCCAAGCAACTCCTGCTTCTCCCCTGAGTTTGGTGCTGGCTCTGCCAGACTCTAAGACACACTGAACTCCTCCCTCGCCAGGAAGTGACTTCTGACCCCTCTCACCTCTCTCTCTCTCTCTCTCTTTCTCTCTCTCTCTCTCCCCCTGGACAACCTCCCTCTGGTAAGTAACATACACAGATTACTCACTTTTGTGGTTTAAAAAAATTATACACACACACACACACATATATTTACATTATTCTTCCTTTTTTGTACCATGCATGCTTTCTCCTCTCAGGTGTAGGCCCCGTGAAATTCCCACCACCCATTCACCCGTGCACTATCACCATAGCCCCTTGTGCTCGTCACTCCCGTTTTGATCCCTCTCCCTCCCCTTCCCCTGCCATGTCACTGATTAATAGTTGCCTGTTAATTCTGTTTATAATTAATTTATTATAATTTTTTTCCTGATCCCTTATTTGGTTCCCCTACATTCCTCTTATAAGTGAAACCATCTGATATTTTTCTTTTTATCCTTCACTTATTTCCCTTAGCATAACTGTAGCTCCATCCATGTTGCTGCAAATGGCATGAGTTTATCTTTTTTGATTGCTGAATAATATTCCATTGTGTGTATGTACCACACTTGATCCAGTCATCTATTTTGGGGCATTTGGGTTGTTTCCATAGCTTAGCTATTGTAAATAGTGCTGCTATAAACATTCCATATGACCCAGAAATTCCACTCCTAGGAATCTACCCAAAGGGCAGAAAAACATTAATTCAAAAGGACACCTGCACCCCTATGTTTAACTCCTCTCTTTAACTCCACAAACCGCCTTGTTGTTCCAATCTAGTGGCCACCTCCTCTGCGTACAGGCCTTGCCCCACCCGCACACACCAGAGCACAGGCCTCCTGCCCTGTCTGACGGCCCAGAGCGCCCACAGGTTTTATCCCATTTAGTTTTGGACCCACTGGGAATGGACATGGGCTAAGTGGCCCATCCCCCTCAAGCCACCGAAGGGAGCTGCCCCCTCCCACTTGGCTTCATTGAAGGGTAGAGATGGCTCAAACCACTGAAGCTGACTTGGACCCAGCCCAAGAGCTCGAGTTTTAATGGCCTGGCAGTGAGAGATAAGTGACTCCCCGAGAACTGCTGGATTCATGGTGTAGGGAGTTTTCAGGCTGAGGGCAAACACCCTTCCCCATCATGCCCACGTGTACAGTTAGTGCCCTTCACACCGTGTTTCTCTAAGAACAATGACACGCTGATCCCGGTCTGCAAAGCATGGAGACTGCTGCACATCGTTCCCGAGTGGGGGCCAGGGGGCCTCCCCCTCTCATGACTAGGTCCAGAGAATGTGTGAAACAGTTGTGATATTTATTTATGCATACAAGAGCTGGGGTGTAGGCCAGAAGTGCGGAAGATGGGGGGCGGTGGTGAGAGGATCCACCAGGACAGAGTGAGGGGCAGAACAGGTAGCTCTACTGAAATACACTGCTGAGGGGAGCAGCAGGGAGACAGGAGAGGTCTGCTGTGCCTTGTGGGTCAGCTCCCTGGCTGGGGATCCAACTTAGGCCAGTGGCTGCTGATAGCTTGATAGTGCTGACTTAACCCTTGCAACACCAGGGAGGCCCAGTTGTGACCTTTTAACTGAGCGGTCCTGTACCTGCTGTCCAGGGGCGCCTGGGTTACCATGCCTGTTACCGCGCTGCTGGTGACAGGGCCGTGAGGGGAAGCGGCTGCAACAAAGGCTGTGCCCTGCCCCGCTCAAGAATGCGAGTGGGCCCTTGAGAGTCCCCCAGCTCCTACAGTCAGATTTGGGGGGTGTAGTCTTTTCCCCAAACAGGATCTTGAGATGTCCTCTGCTGTCTTCTCGGGCACGAAGGCACAACAGATACTGCCTTTTAACCAAAATTGAATATTCAGATCATGTAATGGGGATTGCTTTTTCAGTGCTGGGATAGATTCTATGACTACACTTCCCAACCCTCTGTGGCAAAGGGGTGCAGCAACGGAAGCTCACAGACCTCTGAAGTGAAGGGTGCAGGGACCTGGAATGAGAAAGGCTGGGCTCAATCTCAGTATCCTGCTGGCCAAGTGGGGGATTGCACACATTTTCTCTGTGAGCTTGCTGCCCACTCGCCAGATGAGATCACCACCACCTTCCCACAAGCCAATGCTCGCCACCGTCCAGAGTCCAAGAGTCAAGTGAAAGTGACAATAAACCACTTGGCATATTGCTTTCAACTAAAAATGCGCCACTACTCAGGGCACGTAGTGGGGATTGCTTTTTACAGCGCCGGAGTAGACTCTATGAATACATAGACATAGATACTCAATAAATGTTAGTTACTATTTTTATTATATGAGAATTTGAATTGGCTCGAGTCCATGGCTTTTAATTTACTGTTTCAGTCTTCTCAGAAGAGTCATCCAGGACTAGAGTTAAAAATGAATTTCTCCTGTGAGGCTGTTAAATGTCTGTAAAGGTTACTTAGTGGGTAGAAAAGGTTAGAGCGCTGAGGTGGAAGGATACTGCCCATGGCCCTGTGCCTCACAGCCCCAACTTTCTGTCTCTCACTCTCTCTCTCTCACACACACACACACACACACACACACACACACACACACACACACACACACGCCCCAAGCTAAACCCACTGTCCATGTTTCCAATCTTACTTGGTAAAAATGCCCGTGGCCTCAAAGTCTTTCAAAAACTTCAGAATGGGAAAGTGAGGCCTCAGAGAACATGTATATTCCATTAGAAAAGAAAGGAAGGAAGTGGGGGTGGTGTGGGGAATTAGTACATTTTCTTGTCATTAGCAATATAATGGCTCCCATGTGCTGGGAGCCCCATCTGAGGAGAAGCGATGATGCGAAGGTCATGAATGGACCTCACTGTCCAGTGTGAAAGCTCCTGCAGCACCTTTAGGCCCCACAGCTTCTTCTCAAAGAGTCCAGAATCTCCAACAATAATGGGTTTCCCGTCCACCTCATTGGGGGGGATCTTGTGTTCCAGGAGCACCATCAACTCCTCCAGTTGGTAAGCAAAGGCAGCGACCTGGAGCAGCAGGGTGTGTATGGCCTGGTGGAAGTCACCTTCTGTTGGCGTGAAGTGCACCCGCTGGTCCTCCAGCAGCCTGGCCAACATGCTGTGGAAGGTGCGATAGGCTTGGAGGTTCTCTTGCAGTCGCTCTGCCTCGGTCAGCTCGCCCCACCGGTCGGTGCTTGCCATAGGCACACCATCCACAGAGTCCAAGTTTATGTCCTCGTTCAGGCCCTGATGCTTCACCTGGCCAAGGAGACGGAAAAGCTCAGTGATAGCTCCTGCATTTCCCTGATAATCTCACTTGAATAACCCCTAAATGCAACATCGCCTTCCTGGTCTAGGACCCAAACTGTCAAGAGAGTAAGAAGAACAGCGCGGAAGCCTTTGTCTGAAGCATGTGACTGGAGTTCAGGAAAACTCTATTGTCTGACAGGACACACACCACCTTGACCAGCTGTTCATCTTCCCTGGGAGAATTGATGGGCTCCATGAGGTTGAAAGGTTGAAAAGCCCTGCTTGGGAGCTTTTTCTTTCTACCTCCAACTCCCTCAATACTGGACTATTTAAACCGTGATGGGGTGTAGGTGTTTAAACATACCTGATGACACCCGAGTCACCCTAGAACACGTCATGTAGAATTCCCCTGGTGGCCTTCTCCATCGCTCACCCTCAGTGCTGAGGAGAATCCTTTAGAGAGTTTTAGTGGAATACAACAAAACTGGTACTTTTAACTTCTGACTAGTGGAAATTTATGAAGCTAAACCAGTTCTCAAGAGAACTTCAGACCTCTCCACAGGGACCTGGAATGGCCCCACGGCAGGCCAGCGGTAGAGACCAACCAATGTGGAACCATGAGAAGAAGCTGACACTTCCCAGTGACTCTTCTAGGGGACCCCCTTGATAACACAGCTGTCCGGACACTGCAACACCTGATGTATGTTATTAAGCAGTGGGCGGCTCACGTGGTGTAGGTGACATCGGGAGGTTAGACTGCGCTTCTCCCAACCCTATAAGCCTCACTCCGCCTTTCACTTACACAGCTTAGAAATTCAGAACAACTGTGAAGAACCCAAACTCAGAGGGCCAATGATTAACCTGTTCTAGTAGAATTCAGGCTATGGGCAGTCGAACCGGGAACAGCCTCTGAGACACCTATCTAGGTAGTCACCACTATGTAGAACCCAGTGTTTATTTTCTTATTAGAGGCACAAGCCTGCTAAATGGCCTAGAGAAATTAAACAAAGTCCTGAGTTTCCTCAAGGGAAGGAGTCAGGTCAAATGACAGGTGCCCAATCTATGAATGACTGTATGGCTAGGGCTTCCATAACTGACACTGGGGCTGGAGCATGATCCTAAGGGGCTGGGTCAGAAAAGATGGAGTGAAAATAGACAACAGCAAAACAGGCAACTTACATAAGATTCCATAAGAGCAGTCAGGTCTGAACGAATCTTCCTTGCTAGCCAGATAGAGCGGCTGCAGAGGTCCCGGCGAGGAGGGCTCTGTGGAGAATGTGCTGCGAAAGCCATCCCCACCTAACTCAACTGTCCCAGCAAACAAGTGAGCTGGGTTTGCTTCTGTCTACACTGGTCCAAGAAATGTGACTCTCAGACGAAATCCACTGGGCATTCTCCACTAATGGGACTGTGCACCCCACCCCCACCCCTGCCTGACTCAGAGGTGGCAGCAAATTCCTGGCTGTGGATTTTCTGCCTTGTGGAATCAAAGGCCCCTTTTTAATCAGCCTTTCTTTCCTTCGGCGTCTGCCTCCATCTCTCCTCCTCAGTGCCTAGTGTACTTGTTTTCATGTCATTGTTTTGTTTCTGCACTTAGCAACAAGGTCACTATCACACTAATCCTCATGACACCCCTGCCTACTGTAAACTCTCATACACACACAAATAATTAGTTCATTTATTATCACCCTCCCTCATCCTTCCTATATCCTTTTCTTTTTTTAGCTGGCATCCAACAGGATTAAGTCATTATGGAAAGTGCTGCCATTTATTAAGCACCTAACCTGGGCCAGACCCCATGCTAAAGGCTTTCAGGCTTTGAACTTGAGGATAATTCTATGAGATACTGTTTTCCCATTTTAAGCAAGAAATCAAGGCTTAAGAAACTAAGAAACAGGCACAAGATCCAGTAAGTCGGCTCGAAATTTAAAGACAGGCTTTTGATTCTACAGCTGTTCTCGCACTGACTTCCAATTTCATTCTTCAGGTGGTTCAGATTTTGTTCAAGTTTGCGTGAAATGAGTCTTTTAAAAACACAGCATCTTTCCACTCCCATGTGCTGGCTGTGGTGTTCAAGTTGGTGAGAAGCATCTCTAATCTGTCATGGAGCCGCCCCTCGTAGCTGCAGGATGAGGAAGGTATTGTTTAGGCCTGTTCTCTCCCAAAGGACAGGAAACACCCAAGCCTGACATGGTAGCACTTCTCAGGCAGTCGCACTCAAGTGACAACACGCTTTCCTTTCTCTACTTAGCCCAGGCATACACCACAGGCTTCTCAGGGATATCAAGAGAATAAACTGGTCTTTGGAGTGAGGGCCCGCAAGCTCCGAGGCGCGGGTGAGGTCGCTATGCTGAACTCAGCAGGGGTGAGCACCACGCCTAGGACATGGGGCTGCGGACCACCCCCAAATCCATCTGTTAGCTGTCACCACTTCACATCACAGCTGATGCTGCCAGACTGCAACGCACGCCTTCGCCCCTGTGAACTTCCAGAGGTGAGCAACCAACGAAGGCTGTGAGGGAGAAACAAATGAGGCCTGGGCAGCTCTCACAGGCCTTTTAAGAAGGTAGTATTGTATTTTTTTTTTTTCTTTTTAAATGTTAGTACTCGATATGGACACTGAGCTTTGTGAGGAAGTTGGGTGTTAAGTGCTACCAGAGTGTTGGCATCAGCAGAGTGAGTTTAATCTCACAGCAGCCTCAACGCTCTACTCTAACAGAGCCTCCTTTCCCAGTTAGAAACCTGTGAAGAGATTCCCAAGTTTGCCAAAGGGTCACATAGGACATGGCATCTCAGCATCAAGATCAAATCAAGAGCCAAGTGGAGTCAAGAGTTAACTACCCGATTCTTAACAAGAGCAGACAACGGTACCGTACCCCACAATGCATCCTCCTGACCGCAGGCGCTGGTTCTCACTTAGCAGCACCAACCATTTCACCCCTAGGACATCTGTGACTCAGTACAACCAAGGAAGACCAGTTGCTTCCATGAAGACAACTTTTATTTTTCTTCTTTACATATTTATTTTGGATATGTCTTACTAGATTAAGAGAAAACAAGGATTTGAAAAGCAGAGTATCCCTTTTATTATAATTTCTTTTTACATAACCTTTTCAACCTAGATTCAGGTAACTACCTGTCTCTCCCATCAAGGAGAAGGGTCCTGCACATTACAACAGGCAAAAAAGGTTTTAAGGAAATAAAATATTTTAAATTGATCCATTACAATTTTTCAATTTTCTTGAGTACATTGAAAAGTGGGAAAAAGGAAGGAAAATGGTACTTCAAACACCCAGACCATAAAAACCTTAGTTAGGTTTAGTACACTCTAGTTTTTCTCCGAACAGGTACAAAGGAGGTTTAAGTGCTCTATGTGGATGCTTTTCCGTATCTTCATTTTTTCAGCTCCCAATAATCCTGACCCCTGATAGCTCAACTTTCTGAAGCATACTAAGTCTCCGTAATGCAAAATAATCCTTGGCAATTACCAACAAGGGAAGCACATCCCCTGGAATATTTCTCTCTCAACTACATTTTCAAAATTTGGAACTGCCAACTCAAGATGGAGAACCGGCAGTGGGAAGTTATTTAAGAGGGAATAGAATTTGACGAAGACAGGGAATGCAAAATTTGAAGATTCAAAGAGCTCCTTAGAAGGACAGTAAGTCCACAACCCAGGAACAGAAGGGAAGAAGGCCTAGTGCGGAGAGGTCACGCACACCAACTGCTACTATGCTAGCATTCCCTTTTCTCAAAAGGAAAAGATAAAATCCATGAATAATATTTTAAAATGTATTATTGCAAACTGCTACAAAAATTTATTGGCGCAAACTGCAAGAAAGAGGATTGAAAATTTCATGAAGCCAATTCTTTGAAAAGGACAAAAAAAGGGAAAAAGAACAGTTGCTATTGGTGGGCAGAGGAGTGTGACACAGGAAAGTACGTATTTTTCCCTCCATCTTTTAAAGTTGTTTTTTTTCTATGACTAACCACTGCAAAAGTAACTTACAGAGCTGAGAGAAAAGGGAAATGTGACAGAGACAGAAGGTTAAGTGTGGGCATCTAGATGCTAGTGAGCGAAATGGAACAAAAAGGACTTCATGGGAGACGATCCACTTCGCTCAAGACCCATCCCATCAATCACAGTATCTTCAAGTCTAGTTAACACACCAGCGTCAACTCCAAACCCAAAGCGTGGGCAGAAAGGCACATTCTACATCTCGGCCACCCTTATTTCATTTTCTACCCCCGCTGTGGAGGGACGGCATATTTGCAACACTCTGAGAAGAAACAATAGTGCATTTAAGAAGGTTCACTGTAGGTGTTTCACTCTGTTTCCCGGCATCCCAACCACTGACACCAGTGGGTGGAAAGCAAGCCTCTTTCAAATATGACATTTTGTTACCCCTCTTTTTGGGAAAAACTAAATCAGAGAGAAAATTGATAAACTTTGCAGTTTTAGTGTTTGTGAAAAACAAGCTGTTCCTTATTTTGTTCTCAGCAAAACTTCATTCTTTCCTACAGTCATCATACTTTTCTGACAAACAATGAATAGGGCAAGCCTTTAATTCCAGCTTCTGAGATACACAGGAGGCGAGGCCTTGCCCTTCCAACTCTGAAAAATGAACCAGAATAGGTTTTGAGTCTTCTGGGAGTTATGAACACCGGAAACACTACCCATCTCTTCCCATGGACAGTGATAAGCAACCACCCCATGAGAACCCCTACTCTCAAGGAAAGTGGTGATACACAGAATTCCAGGGGAAAGCCAAAGTCATTATTATACAAGTAGCAACTTTATCTACTGAGGTCATGCCTCGTCCCAAGTGTCAGTAAAGGGAAGGAGCAATTCTGACTCCCAATGTCCGACTCCTAGCCTGCTCCTGCACTGAGGCAGGGTCCTCCCCGGGGCTGGAATGAACCAATGATAAAACAAAGCAAAAGCAAAAACAAAGCAGGGGCCCAAGTTAGGCCAACAGGAAGGTATGTGTAAAATGATGAGGACAAGAAAAAGAATTCACAAATCTTTTATCTGTAATTCAGACCCTGGACAAACCCTCCTCTTCCCCTCAAAATTTCTTAATCGCAATGCTCTAAAAACTCAAAGAGCACTAATTACCACAAACCTAACATCCTTTCCTAAAAAGGCTTCCAAAAAAGCACTAGGCTACTGTAGTGATTCTGTTAGTGCTGAGGACCAGCTTTCTTTAAAGGCCACTGGAGGAGAGCTATGATTTTAGAGGCTGGCTGTGCTTCTTTAAACTGTATCTTGCCTTCAAATGTACCTCTTATGGAAAGGACCCCACATCAGAATAATCTAATCTCACCCAGCCCCACAAAATATAGCAACGAAGACAAAAAAAAAAAAAAAAAAAATCAGACTTTCCGTTAATAAATAAGGAATCTCGGGTTCCACAACACAAAAACACACATGTTCAAAGTGCAAATTTCTGCCATTAGTCTGGGACTTTTCTTACTGTCTCACTGAGAGAGCCCTTCCTATGGTCAGAGACCATGCAGAGGGCAGCCCCCTCCCCGTGGGGAGCCTGCTTCCAAGCAAGTGAGCACCATTGAGAACCAAATGGAAGTGTCAGGAGGGGAACTGGGTGCTGGGGCCAAAGAGGAGGGAGGTGGTCCCCACGTATCCTTCTTTTCCAAAACCCAGTGGGAACGGCGGGAAAGGGGTGAGAGATGTGTGCTGTTTTAACAGCTCACCCTGCTAAGGGGCCCTAAAGTGCCAAGTCAAGCTGCCAGCCTCCGGAGGTTAGAATTATGCTACTTTGAGGGTACGTGTGCCGCAGTGGGTAGAAGCAGAACTACAGGGCAGCGCAAGGGAGAAGGGGTTTGAGGACAGTATATATCAGTACGAGTTAAAAGCTGATCCAGAGCACATCAGAGTTACAGGTTGGAAAGGGGGATTTGCCACAGAAGTTGGCCTGGCTGGAAGTGAGCATGAGGAAAACCCTCACTTTAAAAGCTGCTGCTTCTTTTTTGTCTACCTTTCTGGTAAAGGCAACTTCAATTTTATAAAGGGGACAATAGAGGAAGAAGAGAGGATGGGTGTGTGTGTGTGTACTGTGATCCACAATGGAAAGAGCAGGCCCTTCAGTTATTTTACTAGATTTTTAAATGCTTTAAATTTTTTTTGTCCTTTTTTTTATCTTTTAAATACAAAGTCTCAGCTGTCCCAGTGCCCAAAGTCTTCCTTTCCACTAAGGTCCAGTAGAGTCTGAATCTTCAATCAGAACCTCTGTGGTAGCACCGAGTATATCCGAGTTCATGACCAGCCCTTCAGTGCCCCCACTGCTGCCACTTCCCACAAAGATCTTCCCATCAGCCATCAGGCTCACCCGCTCTGTCCCACTACAGTATGACTTCGACATTCCTTCAGCCTCCAGCAGTAGGCACTCTCCAGAGGTGGAGTTTCCCAGGGGCTCCGGAAGAAGAGGAAGGCCCTGACCATCTGCAGGTTGCGTCAGGGACTCTGGATTAGTGCCCAAGATATCTGTGCTGGTGATGAGGGCGCCTGCGTTGGCAGCCAGAGCTTCAGCGATCAGCACCTCAGGGTGGCTTTTTGCTTTGTGCGCCACCACGCTGTCCTTCTTCTCAAATTTTTTGCCACAGATATTGCAAGAGAACTGGTAGAAGGAGTCTGCATCATGCTTCTTCATATGCCAATTAAGGGACGCCTTTTGTCGACAAGTGAATCCACAGATCTCGCATCTGAGGAGAGTGGAAAAGGGAATGGCTCATGAAATGAGAAACAGAGAGTGCTGTACTCATGGTCAAGGCTGAGAATTTACAGGTCACAAACGTAAGGAAGAGTCAGTTGCATACACTTTTTGGGAAAGATTAGAAAAAGCTACTAAGTGGAAGACGAATCTGATTTTTTCCTTCTGTTTGACAAAGGAACCAGAAGAAAAAGGTCCCCAAGTAGCTCCTCCAGTGAATACCTACTCTTTCATTTGGTAAAAGGAAAGAGCAGAGGCAACTGAAATGTGTGACAGGGCCAGCCCTGATGTGGGATGTAAGGACCTCTCCCGCAGGTGTTCACGAGGAATAACACTCACTGGAGCGGCTTCTCGCCAGTGTGGATCATGCGGTGCACCGCCAGGTTGTGGGAGCTCTTGAAAGCTCGAGCACAATATTCACAGATATAATCCCTTTGATCTAAGGAGAAAATTACTGTGGTCAGTGTATTTTTCTCTAGCTTACAGTAAAAGCAAACAGTTGATCAGGCAGGTCAACTTAGAGTAAAAACAACACCGTTTTCAATGTATAAATATACTTTGAATAAACACAACTCGAAATAGAAATATAAAGTTTTCATCTTTTGAAGTCCATATGTTTTAAGAATAAAGACCTATTTTTAAAAAAAAAAAAACAAACTGGATAGAAATATAAGAATTATAATTCCAATCTCAATTTTACCAGTAATACAGGTCTTGCATAAATTGCTTAGCAAGTAAACAACTACATTTTCCATAGATTTTCTTTCTTATAACACTTTGACACATGTGAAAACTGAACCTTACAGGTAAAGAATCTGGCATTCAAACAACAAGAGAATTTGGCATTCCCTAGAAGTATCTATATCTAAAGTGGTAATCATAGCTTCTGTTTCAGGTTTAAAAAATGTTACCCAAGGCAAACAATTTAAGCTTCTCTCAAGACTCCAGTTACTGCTGTAAAATATATGCAAATGGTACCTTTCCTACCCCACATCTTCTGCACCACTGAACTACCTCCCTGTCTATTTCACAATCCCCCCCCAAATTTCACATTTTTTTTGGGGGGGGGGATAAATTTGGTATGGGGGCAAATAAACACTGTACTTAATTTCTATTTCTTGGTTGGGGAGAAATTGGAGAGGCAGATGCTCAGTATGTATTTGCTGAATGAATGACTCTGTTGTTTCCCTCTGCCTTTCACTTAAAATGACTACACATGTTCAAAATGAAAACTCAAAAGGTTAAAAAAAATATATAATTTAATAGTATCATCCACCCCAGTTCTAAAACCAAGTGTGGGAAAAAAGCCAAGTTTTCCTCAAACTGGAATGTACTTTGAAGTCACCTGAGGATATTAATAAATGAAGATACTGATTCAGCACGTCTGTGGCAGGGCCCGATAGCCTGGAGCTCCAACAAGAGTTCAAGTGATACTAAGGCTTTTGGCTTATCTGCCCTTGATGAGCAGCAAGGTTTAAACATACACAGTTCTAAATAAACCAAGGACAGCTCCTTAGTCTATCCCAGATCTGGTCCACTTTTTCAGCTCTCTAAGGTGGCAAACTTGGGTGGGGAATCCATTTGTCTAAAATATATACACAGACCAGGGACAGCATTCTCTCTGAAGAAACAGTTACAATGGGAAGACTACTGGAGTAATTAAGACCTCAGCTCAAGCCCTGGTGTTCTAAGTCTGCACGTGCCACGCCCTGTGCAGCGAACGGCACTTTATCTCATACCAGCTGCATTGCACAATACTCTTGGTGCGAAATGAAGTTAAAGGACAAAAGTTATAAAGTCCCAGTCTCTTCATTCCTCTTTTATATTTTATCACATTATCTTTCAATCTTTCTTTTACACTTGACCACAGAGGAAAAAACATTACTAATCCACACACTTAAAAAACAAGAGGGTGCATTTAGCCACCTATTTTATAAAGTACCTGTATGGTGTTTGGCATGTCGTAAAAGCTGCTTTTGGAGTCTGAAGAGTCGCCCACAGGAGGGATGGGGACATACATATTTTTTCTTCAGCAAATGTTGATATTTAATGTGGTGCTAAAACAGTAAAGACAGCAAACATTGATCAAACTAAACACTTTATACATGAATCGAGGCAGTAGGCCAAAATGGTTAAGACCATGGGCTATGGACAACCTGGGCCTGCCATTCACGAGCAGTGCACATGGCGCACGGCAGAGAGCAGCCATTATCATGATCACAGCAGCACCAGAGTCAGAAAGCAGGCCTGGGTTTCACATTACATATTTGCAGCTAAACTGCAGTTCAAATAGGCATTTCTTAAGCTTTTGTAATTAGTACTTCACTTTTGTGTTTTCTGTCAGCACAAAATATAAGTTTTATCCTTCTTTATTCACTAAAAATATACCACAATGAGAAACACTGGAATATTCCAAGATTACAAGAAAATCCTGTATTTGGATTCATGCTCTTAGTCATTATTTTTTTTTTAAAACATGACTGAAATAACTTCACATTTAAAGGGAGATTTTTCTTGACATTACTTATCAATGATAAAACCTACATACTTTCACAATGATAATCTCACTGAGTATGAGAAAAATGGACAGAGTCTGGAAGGCTACCTTATGCAACAACTCCACACTCACCTGCAAGTAGCGAGGGTGAGCAAGGACAGTTCCACATCCTTCCATCTCACAACGGACATATTGGATCGGAGGCTTTTTTCTATTATCAATATGTAGGGAAAAAGTTAAAAGCAGAAAAGAAGCAATTTTCACCAGTGGCCTTAATACCACAGGGGACAACTATTTTATGGTATGGAGATTTAAATCTCTTTACTATAATACAGTGTACAGAATTTATGTGAGAAGTAGTCAGACACTACCAAATATTTGAAGATTTTAAGAAAATAGCACAAGCATGCCCCAAAAGGAAAAGAACTACTAAAAAATTTTTTAGAAGCTTACAGATTCTGCAATGGAAATAAAAACGTAGTAACTCTGCATAGAGGATTCTAAGGAGGTTGCTTCTGTGAAATTCTTAAATTTCACTGAATCACAAAATTCCCGCAGGGTTAATATGAGGGCTAATATATATATATGAATAATATATATATGTGAATATATATATGTGAATAAAAATATATATATGTGAATATATATGTGTATATATATATGTGAATAAATATATGTGAAAATATATATATGTGAATAATATATATATGTGAATAAAGGTTCTGGCACCAGAAATAAGACACAACAAAAATCTAAGTTACTCACCGCCTTTTAGGTAATCGTGGACTTTTGTCATCCTTTCGCCTTCTTCCTCTTCTACAGAGAGAGAACAGAGTAACTGTCTGCATATTCTGGACTGAAGCTCACAGACTTAAGGTTAGCTGAAGGCATGACTCAAGACCAAAAAAAACAGGTGACAGAAACAAAGGACAGCCCAGAACACACAAAGTCAAAGATGCATGTGGCAAACAAAAGACTTTATTCTCAAGTAAGTAAGCCTGCACCTTGAGTTAAATATGAATTACTTTGGAAGATACCGGTAAGCCTCAAGGTTACTATTTGAAGAACATTTTCAATGAAAAAATCTATCACTTAAATCCTAAGAATATAAATTATATTTTCTTCGCAACAGAACCAAAAAACGTAAACATTAAAAAAATCTGCTAGAAAATTATTGCTAGGCAGGATTTCATTTTTTAACCCAATCAAGGTCACATCATTCAACTTATTTGCTTTTTTCTGAGGAACCACATCTGCTATACTTTTTCTTGCTGTCTACACTCTCTCTTCTATTCCTATAGTCACTGTCTTATATTTGTTGATTTGGATGTTTTAAGTATTGCCTTGAATTAAACTTTTCAGGCTTGTATTTATTTATTTAATTATTAAAGATTTATTTATTTTTGCAAGCACTGGGTATAGGGTATAGTCAGAAGTGCGGGAGGGTGAGAGCATTCACCAGAGCCAGAGCGGGGAACAGACAGGCAGACTGATGAAATACACTGCTGAGGGGAGCAGAGGGTGTGGCAGGAGAGGTCGGCATGTCATGTGGGGCCCTCGCTGGCGGCCAGGGATTGAACTGGTGCTGCAGAGGCTGCGGGAAGCCTTGCAGCCCAGTGCTCAACCGCCGCGCCACCAGGGGAGGCCCAACTTTTCAGGCTTTTGAAAAAAGTTTCCCCAATGAAAGTTACTTGAGGGAGCAATAGTTAGAAGTCAACATCCCTCTTTGCACTCCCACCCATTTTTTCATTAATGGCTTCAAAACCCGCCAGGTCTCCATTTTTAGCCGTAACTGCCTACTTACTTCCTAGGAGGTTCCTCATCCTCCCTAATTTCGTTCTCTTCTTCTTTCACTTCTACCTCAACTTCCACTTTAATCTCTTTCTTCTCTTTCTCTTCTTTCACCTTCCCCGATTTTCTCCGTGGCTTCGGGGTTTCCCTGAAAACACAAAAATATCTCAACACTGATACCTTTTGCAAAGTATCTTTTCAAGGAAAATTGTGACAATAGGATAAAACATGGCATTTTTGTTGACTTATTGTAAAACTGTGACTCTCAGTCCACACAAGTGACTTCCAGCCAACTATTCCTCACATATATAGTGATGATACATATTTAAAGTGTATGGGATAATACCTCTAGGCTAATGATGTCCTATAATCAAATCAAAGACACAAAAGTAAAAAGCAAAATTTCTAAGTTTTCAGGTAATTCATAATATCTTAAAATAAAGACATGCAGACATCACGATAATTTGGATACGATCAAATAAAGTTCCATACCTTTCTAAATGGGGTTTGTATGTCTCATCTCTTGGGTCATCTTTGAATGGTATCTCCTCTTCACTGATTAACATCTCTTCCTCCTCTTCCTCCTCATCATCACTACTAAAAAGAAAACACAGATGAGAAATTCCAGTTGTAACAATTACATCTGACAGGATTTTATCCAGAAATTCACAATAAATGAAGACTCAGTTAAGTTAAACAGGATTTTCATCCATATGATCTAGTTGGACCTCGACCTAGCTGCTTTTTTCCTAGAGTAGTAAATGGAACTAAAAATACATAAATCCCAAACAAGCTATCACTTCATTAATTGAAGGTAAGTCATTGAGATGACTGCTTAGTGGAACTAGAAGTTAGAGCACACTGGACATTACAAAATTATGTCTCATAATCTACTGATCTGCTAGATCAAAAGACCTGTCAATAGACACCCCCACCACCAAAGTCATATAACTAATCATCGATAATACTGAAAAAATTTCAAAACTGGTGAAAAACCCACAGCTCACATTAGTAACTAGCATGAAAAAAGCCAGGATGCAGAAGGTACGCAAGACGTGGTTTCTGAACGACATGGCTAAAGCTCTCATGAAGAATGAAGTGAATCTAAACTGAGCGTAAGCTACTCTCCCTTGGCCACAGATCGAGGCTCCTTCCACCAGAAAACAAATTCTGAGTCACTGAAAGTGACTGCACCTTATATCCCTAGGGATTTAAATGTGAACATGCATTTTCTTACCTAATGCCACCTGGAGACTGATGTTCTTCTGCAACATCTACAAGAGTAAAACCAGAAGAAACTTTATGTAGACAAAGCTATCTTCTCTCTGCAGTCAAGAGACTCAAACCAAATTACTGACTGAACAATGCACAAAAGAAGAATGTCTGCAAAATTGTCTCAAGACCACCACCTCTACCACTGCAAAAGCTTAAACTGTTTTGGGAAATCCTCAATGTCACGTTTAAAACCAACATGTAACCGGGGATGTGCACTGTACCACAATCCAGCTGCTCTGTGTTTGGCTCCGACTTGCAGATGAGCTGCAACGAACCAGTCCTGGACCTTGAGCTTCGGGTGTTTTCTGCGTCACGGAGCCGAGAGACAGACGTTCTGCTGCTGCTGCGCCAGCCTCTGCCGGGCCGTGCGGAAGCGACGGAGACTTCCTGAGGGAGGGGAGAATCATCTTCTTCCTCTTTCTCTTCCTTGGGATCTAAATGAGAACATAATGTTTTCATTTACGGTTAACCAATCTCCGTATAGCTACTACTGTAATACAGTCAATGGAAAGAGAAATTAAAAATTTTTAAGGAAAATGAGGTACGATGCTTGTGGTCAACACTCTAAAAATGTTATGTGACAAAGCAATATATTTTTTTGCCTTATCTACTAGAAAATGGAATGCTGAGAGAAATACATTAATTCCCAATTTAACATTATCTATAGGCTCTTGGACACAGCCACTTTAATCAAAGCAATGTAATATGAAACCAATTTTACCAGAAGCTAACTGATATATAAGAGTTAAGTTCCTATGGTGTATTTCTTTTCTGGTCACAAAAACATCACCGAACTTCTAACTTCTAAATAACCCACAGCACATCTAAGATGAAACATAATTTGTGTTCACACACTCCCTTTTCCAAACCTCTTGTATCTTGTCCAGGGCTGCTGGTGGCTAAATCCCAGGAGCTCAGAGAAAAAGATGGGACCCAAGCCTCAACAGGATGCTTTTCCACAGCAGGGCACACACACACTCCCCACACCCAGCCCTACTCAGAGTGGGGTGACTTATATGTGCCAATCTATCTAATATGCCCATCTCTGGGATATGGGAGGGAACTGTAGAGCACTCAGAGAAAATTACACGGACATGGGGAGCATGTGCATCTCACACACAGTGGTCAGCAAGGGATTTGATCTCCCCCCATCATCATTACAATGTAACATTATTTTTGTGGACCAGCTATAGCAAAAAATACCTAAGCAATTCAAGTCAAGGAATTTTAACCTTTATAGACTTAAGCCAAAAGAAAGAAATGGAGTGGCCCCAGAAAAAATGACCAACTACTAAGACACAGAAAAAGAGAACATTTAGATCACAAAACAAAAAGATCACAGGTCTAAATGGTCTAAGAACCAAGCAAAGCTACAAGGAGTTGCTGAAGAGGAATTCTAGTAATAGGAATGCCTTCCTTTGACTATATTCAATAATTTTATTTGGAACTACAACATGAATTTAGTTAATTTGCAGAGCAAATCACTACAAAGTACAGCTTCAGTGTTGTTCTGTTTCTCAGGATAGAAAAGGCCATTTAAAACTGGCACAAAATTTCAGGTGTTAAGACTGATACGTTGTACTATATAAACTTGAAAACAAAAATCTGCCTTGCAAATTCCATTATAAAAAGTCTCATAGTTCACCAAAGAAATGGCAGTTCAGTAAAAACATGGCTTTCAAATATAGGAACAAATAATAACATCAAAGTTTACCCACTCACAAGAGAAACTCAGATGACAGCATACCATTGCTTTCCTACAGCATTGCAATCACCCCGATGTTCAACAACACAGTTACTGACATGGCTAGAGGAAAGCATGCGCACTGACAAAGCCACTATGAAAGACAATTTGGCAGTATCTTTCAAAATTATAAATGGACACACCTTTCCATGTTAATTTCAACTATTAGGAATTTATCCTACAAAACAATCACACTTTTAAAAATGGTACAGTCATTACAACACTTTTTTAAAAGAAGATTTATTTATTTATGCATACAAGAGCTCGGTTATAGGCCGGAAGTGCAGGTGGGTGAGAGGGTTCACCAGAGACAGACTGGGGAGCAGAACAGGTGAACTGAGATGCACTGCTGAGGGGAGCAGCAGGTGAGACAGGAGGTCTACTGTACCATGTGGGTAAGCTAGCTTCATAGTACTGAGATTTAACCCCTTGCACCACCAGGGAAGCCCTATAGCACTGTCTTTGGTAAGTATTGAGGGCATTGGTTACATGAATTATGATACATTTGGCCAATGGGTAATTACATGGAATCAACTGCAAAACACAAAATAACCGAAGCCCTCACAGGGTATATACAAAAAACACGTTTATATATAGATAGATATAACATGCACTGTGTTATATGATATATGTACCTTACATAAAAGTATTCCTGGAAGGACATACAAGAAGTATTAGTTGCCTCCAAGAAGGTCAAAAAATACATCCACCCATTTCACCTCTTAGAAGTAGGTGAAGTGAAGTTGCACATGGAAGTTTACCTGTCCATAATTGCTAAAAATGGAAACTTAATCATCTGTCAGTAAATATTCAAATAAATCAAGGTATATTACACCAAGATAGAATATTATTTATCTGTAAAGAATGACAAAAAATTAAAATATTAAATTAAATATTGTCAGTGCACACGTTTTCCTCTATTTCCATTTTTTTTAAAGATTAATTTATTTATGCATACAAGAGCTGGGGTACAGGCCAGAGATGTGGTGGGGAAGAGGATTCACTAGAGACAGAATGGGGAACAGAACAGGCAGACTGACCGAAGTACACTGCTGAGGGGAGCAGCGGGTGAGACAGGAAAGGTCTGCTGCGCCATGTGGGTTGCTCCCCGGCCAGCCGGGGATCGAACTCGTGCTGCAGAGGCTGCGAACAGCTTCACAGGTTGCATCTTAACCCACTGGGCCACCAGGGAGGGCCCTCTATTTCCATTACTAAACATGAAAACAATCCTACACACACATGCAGAATGGTCAACAATTTCGCTTGACATCTTTTCAGAGATCTGAAAAATACAGCTTTCTCCACTGCAGAACAGGTGCTGAAAAGGGAACTGCTTTAGTGTTAACTATACTGTCTGAAAGTATGAGAATATACTGAGGTTACAGAATAAAATTCATTTGAAATATTGAGAAAAATAGCAATCAGATGGTCTAAAAACCTGATATTCATTACATCAGAAATGCATTTCCTTTTCATAGTCTTATCTGAACTACTTTAAGTATCAAATAATAAGAAATGATTAGATTTGAAAATATTTTAAGATTACCTAATGAGTCAGAAGGTCAAAGAAGACATTTGTTCAAAATCACAAAGCTACTACATCAACCTAGTTCTAACAATCATGACTTGAGACTAGAAATCATGTCTTGAGACTAACAGACATTATATCTTGGTCATCACTGCTTTTAGGAGAACTTCTTCAAACACAGCAATTCAACACCCCACCATAAAGTATCACAATATTAAATAGTGGAGAGGAAATTTTTTACTCAACTCAACTACACTCATATTGACTTGAAACCCACTTCAGACTATCCTACAGTCAGCAAAGGTCTTCTTGTGATGAAAGCACTCTATGCCCCTACCTTCTCACACCGGGTCTCAAGCACTGCACAAATGATTGCAATTTGGCCAGAACTAATCCTTACAAATAAAGCCTAATAAGCTTATCTCAATGAATACCACACCCATCTTTCAGTACTCTAGTCTTTATGGAGGAAAAAAAAAAAGCATTGTAAGAGATTGTGTCAATAAAAATGCTGCTACTACTTCTCTCTTTCTCTCTGCCAGAAACAACTTTGTAAAAACTCTGGAAAGAAGTCAGATTTATAGTAACCTCACTACTGATTCAAGAAAAAGCTAAATTTAACATGACATTTAAGGAGATCTCTTGCAAATCACTTGTTGAACACAGTTAAAAAAAAAAAAAACAGCCTTTTTTTTATTTTGGAAGATTTATTGTTAAAGTAACTTTAGATTCATAGCGAAGTTGAGGAGAGGACACAGAGATTTCCCATCTATCTCCTACTCCAACACATCCAAGGCTTACCTCACGACCCACCACCAAAGTGGTCCACCTGTTTAAACTGATGAATCTATATTGATACATCATCATCACCCAAAGTCCACAGCTTATCTTAGGGTTCACTCTCAAGTGTTGTACACACTATGGATTTGAACAAGTATGTAATGACATGTATCCACCAGTATAGTATCACACGTATTTTCATTGACCTGAAGTCCTACAAGCCATCTCGTCTCCCCTCCAAAATATTTTTTACTGTCTCCATACTTTTGCCTTTTCCAGAATGTCAAGTAGTTGTAATCATACAGTATGCATGCATTTAGCCTTTCAGATCACACAAATAATTATTAATGGTTTCACAATGTTTCTGTATTTCAGGAAAGTACAAATAGTTCAAATGTAACATATAAACTAAATATGCAGCCAGCAAGAACCTATGATTTAGGTTCAGCAGATCAACTAAAATGACATTAGCAATATTGTATCAATTGTATGGGTTCATAGGGAATCAGCAGTTGTCATTTCTAAATAGTCCTAACAAAACAATTATGAAAAGCTAACATATGTGAACTTTTCTTAAACTGGTAAGAACAGAGTGTCTCCCTGGTGGCCTGAGGGGTTAAAACGCAAATTATGAAGCTGTCTGCAGGCTCTGCAGCAGGAGTTCGATCCCCAGCCGGCCAGGTAGCTACCCACCTGGCGCAGCAGACCTCCCCTGACTCGCCCACTGCTCCCCTCAGCAGTGTATTTCAATCTGCCTGTTCTGTGTCTCTGGTGAATCTGCTCATTCCCCTGCACTTCTGGCCTGCACCCCAGCTCTTGTATGCATAAATAAATCTTTAAAAAAAAAAAAAAACCTGTAAGAACAGATACTACTCTTGATCTTAGCCAAAAGGCTGAGAAGGGATGTGAGGCCATTTTAAAACAGAGTTGGGGAGACACTACAGAGAAATTGCATTACCACTTTCCTTTGAATTGTGTCAAAAACATTTGAACTGGCCAAACTGACTCAGTTTGGACTGAGTCAAAAGCAATTATTTTAAGAAACCATCAACCAAATAAATGTTTGGTGATAGGACAATTAGCCTGAGTCAGTTCCCTTTTTATCCTTCCTAGAGACTCAATAATCAATTATGTATATAGCCAAGAACAGTTTGGCCTGCTCACACAAATCAACTCTTTTCTTAAACAGCTTACCTCATTTTCCTCTTTTCTTCATTTCTTTTTTTTTTACATTTATCGTGCCATGAGTTCACAGGGAATGGGTTCTAGCAACTTGAGGCTCTGTCCTAAGAGTTCTCACAATGTGTAAGGCTGGCTCTTCTATGGACCCCAAGTACTTTTCTTTTTGGCCTTTTCTCCTGATCATTTCTCCTCACATGTTTCAGGAATCTACCTGGACTCTTACGGTGCTGAATATGTTCAATATGAATATTAATTCTCCTGGTAAGAATCTTGCCCTTCGTATGTTTGTTTACAACAATGCCAACTGCAAGCTGGGTAGCACTGTACTCTTCTAGTGTTGCCATGGTAACATTTGTGGGGTATTCCTTTTGAACAAAGCCTATCTCCTGGATGTCTACAGTATCACTTGTAGATTCACATGGATGTGGCCAAAGGAACACCTCCATGTTTTCTAAGACCTAGAATACACACAGGTGGTGCCTGTCCTCTTCCCCTTTGTGTTAGTCATTCTGTCAGCTTACTGGTAGATGGTGATCCCAGCCCTTTTGCACTCTCCCTACCATAAAACTTTAGTATTTTAGGTTTACCACATGAATCTGTGTACCCTAAGTTGCAATTCTTCAACCACCAAAACAAACACCTTGCTTTCACAACTGTCTTGTGAATTTTTAGTTTGACACTATTAAATGCTACGTAAACTGTTATTATACTGTACTGTCCGAGAATAATGACAAGAATAAAGACAAAAAAGTCTGTGCATATTCAGTATATATACCACAGACCTAAAAAAAGCACTTATTTTCCTTGGTAGAATCAGTGAATATGGAATCCAAGGATGTGGAGGGTCCAGTGTATTTCTGAAATGTGCTGTTTTAAGCAATTTCCAAACCTCTGGCTTATTCAGACTTGAATATGCAGATAGCTCTCTGGATGAAGAGCAGTCCACATGGAAGGAGCAAAAAGCCTGGAAGCTTAGTTTACCACTTCCAAAGAACTACCACCTCTACTATGCAGCTTCTACTAGTATAATTAGTAGGAGAGATGGAATGAATCTCTCTCTACATATACCCTATTGGATTATCTCTCTGAAGAACCCTGACTAACATGGACTCTGGAACTAAAAGTGGCTCTACAGGATGATAATCGTAAAGCTCAGTTTCCTAAATTGGTTCTCTAATCTGATGCGATTTAAAGGTAGTAATTGATTATATTTCCAGTATTAAAGAAAATAGTTACAATGCAAAGCATGGTGTGGCATCAGAAGTAGGCAAAATATCACCAATGGACACGTTTTCTCAAAACACTTATGCTCCTAATTACATCGGACAAAGTAGGGCAAGGAAGGTCTCAGGGATTCAAATTTGCAGCTCAGTCACCACAAAAATGGTCCTGATAGTTTCTATGCCTGCCCAGAAAGAAATCTTTGTCTCCTATAGCTGCAGAGCTGAGGTTGCTGAAAACCAAACCCAGAATCTCTCCAAGGCCAGTATGGTTATGGGCACTGTTGTGTGCCATCTGCTAGCAGCAGAAAAGACTAACACTAAGTCCCCGAGATAAGACATACTTTATATGGCGATTAGCCAACTAACACAACTGTATATATGATATATTGTAACATGTCCAGAAAAGGCAAATATATGGACGGAACTCTACATCGGATATAAGTGAATTTTATAGTATGTAAATATACCTCAACAAAGTTGTATTAAATATTCACCATAGCACTTGTCACAAAGGCAAATAACTAAAAGCTACCCAAATGCCCACTGACAGTAGAATACATTATGATGTATTCCCACAAGGGAACATTATAGAGCCATGAAAATAAACCATCTAATACAAACCCAACAGCAGAATGTCACATAATGGTGAACCAAAGAAGTCCCACACAAGAGTTTAATGGTTACAGACAAATTGTTACAAAGTTATTCCTTTGAATGTAAGGGACAGAAAAACTCATTTACCCAACTAATAAAATATTCCAGAACTGAAATGAGCTGATAAGCAGGGTTACATAAGTCTTTGTTACAATTCACATATACTATAAATGAGATATGTCTGTATTCCTGGGAATCTAGAATAGAGGAAACACCACAGATGATCTGGATGTTTGAACAAGAAAAACAATTTAAAGCATATGGGGCATTTCCAACAAGGAACAAGATAACCGAGTAGATCATTCTCAGAATGGGAGAAATAACAGGGTTCCTGCTACGTCAAGATAAAGGACTAGGAAGGAAATAGGATAAAATGCTTATCTAATTTGTTACCAGCCATTTGAGACATGAGCATTGTCATAGTGAGAAACTTGAGTTTCTGAAACTTGATCAGACTACTGTATTTCTATAATTAGCACTACTTTGTTTTCTGTAAATAATTAGTGAAGCCCATTTTGAAATATTAGCCAATCTCAGCATTATTAAAAGAAGTCAGGGAAGGGGAGGTTTTTTTTAAAAGGAAACATTTAAGCCATCTTTAGAAGAGTACCATTTAGTTTGTGAATGGTACAAGCGTGTTTCAAGTAAAACTAATACCTCTGAGGGTAAACACTGGAATTATATATGCCTTATTTTTTACTTAGAGATTCTCCATCTGAGCTCTTTTCCACTCAAAATGTATTGGATTTTATTTTAACTAGACAAACAATGTTCTCAAGCAAGGATACTCCAACATTTTTAAGAAAAAGTTGTTAAGATTTGGGCCTCCCTGGTGGCGCAAGGGGTTAAGCACCACACTATGAAGCAATCTGAAGCCTCTGCAGCACCAGTTCAATCTCCGGCCAGCCAGGGGGCCAGGGAGCTGACCCACATGGCGCAGCAGACCTCTCCTGCCTTGCCCGCTGCTCCCCTCAGCAGTGTACTTTGGTCAATCTGCCTGTTCTGTTCCCCACTCTGTCTCTGGTAAATCCTCTCACCCCCCTGCATCTCTGGCCTGTACCCCAGCTCTTGTATGAATAAATAAATAAATCTTAAAGAAAAAAAACTGCCATTCTTTATGCAGAAGCTCAAAAAGTGAGTGTTTTTCTCATTGGAGGGGAAAAAAGGTGGGAATGTCTGCTTCTATGTATTTAAAAACAACACATATATTGTTCAAGGATATTAAAAATGAGGATGCATATAATCAAAAGCAGCTCAATACAGAAAAATACTCTGATGAATATTGAAACTATGAAAATTGTTAAAAATCCAATCCCCAGATTTATCATGAACTCACTTGACTGTCTTAGGCACTCTTTCCAACCATCATTATTCCGTAACAAGAGTAACTGGAAACAGTAAAATGATTTTGAATAAAAAAATAAGACCCAAGGTAATTTTTGTTCTGATTTTTGCTTTAACAAGAACTGCTCTGGTGAATGCCAGTCCTCAACATTTTCTCCCCATCACAGAATTTCCAAAGCAGGCCGTGAATAAGGAACATAAGCTGTGCCATTCTTGGTGGACATACCTATCTTTCAAGCAACAAGAGCAACAAAACCCAAAACTTGCTAGACAAAACAGTCATGCAAAGCTTTCTACACAAAAAATTTGCCTCATACTCAAAACTTTTGCCTGGTGTACTATGAAATACTAGCCTCAGATTCTAAAATCCAGAGGACAAAAAAGGAACCTGCACATCAACACACAATTATTTACAAGTCACCAATTCAAGTTAATGGTTTCTAATCAAACTGTCATTTTTCTAAGTAGCATAAAACTCACGTTTTAAACTTCCCTTATATGTATTTCCAAAATTCCCTATATATTTCCAAAGCATCCTCACAAAGAGAAAAATCTTCATTAATAATAATTATGTATAAAATATAATTTAACTGGTTAAGCCTCAGTTACAAGGCAGGTTTTTGTTAGGATTGGGCAAAGATCAGATATAAATGAGCTATATTTATTTATTTATTTATTTTTTTATAGAGGCATGTTTTATTTATTTCTTTATTTGTTTGTTTTGTTTATACAAGCACTGGGTACAGTCAGAAGCGCAGGAGGGTGAGAGAATTCACCAGAGCCAGAGCAGGGAGCAGAACAGGCAGAAGGACCGAAGTACACTGCTGAGGGGAGCAGCGGGCGGCAGGAGAGGTCTGCGCGCCATGTGGGACCCTCCTCTGGTGGCCGGGGAGCAGCCAGGGATCGAACCAGCGCTGCAGAGGCCGCGGGCAGCTTCGCAACCCAGCGCTCAACCGCTGCGCCACCGGGGAGGCCCATAAATGAGATATATTTAAAAGTATTACTTGTTCCAGGTTTAAAAAGGAAGCTGTATATTTGAATTCAGCATCAAGGAACAGAGTCAATAACTAGAAAATAGTGTAATGAGAGAGCATCTGGTTCAACATAGGGCAATTTTAATAACCTGATCTGCAAAGCCAGAATCATCATTTTAAAAAAGAAAAAGCGAACATTATCTTCCTTTTTATAATTCAGATAGCAGATTACACTCAATACAGAAAAGTATTTGGTTTGCTAAACTAAGAGAAACCACCTAATGAACCCACTTAATTATTCATTAGGATGAAATCTTAGAACTTGCTTTTCGCCTTCTTGAAACTGCATTCATAATTTGAATCTCTATCAGCAGCAAGATTTTGTCTATACTTCATTCTGTATGTTCTGTAACATTCCCGTTACCTCTTTTAAAAAGTCAAAGAGCTTAAAAATTACAATAAATAGAAATCAAATAATCTCATTCTCATTATTAGGTTTCTAAATAATGCCAAAATGTCCCCCTTGTCCAAACCTGCTTGTATCTAAACAGGTTCTATCTACTCCAATCATTGTTTACTGGATAAATCACATTTAAATGGGGACAATTTGAATTATCTGCCTGAAGTTTATTTTACTATAATCAATATAACAAACAGGAGTGGTTAAGAGTAACCAAGTCTTACCTTTGTCTGTTGTTACTTTTTCCACGCATCTGAAAGAAATGAGAATCAAATATGAAATGAACAATCTTACATATTTTCTTGAAACACAAATATTCATCTCTTTCAGGTTCATTTTCAGAATGATACATGAAACATCTAGAGTAGTGCTATCCAATAGAACTTTCTGCAGTGATGATATTCTGTATCTGCTGGCTAATATGGCAGTCCTGTATGTGCTACCAAAAGCTTGAAATAGCTAGTGTAACAGGAAATGAATTTTTAATTTTAATTAATGCAAATTTAAATAGTGACAGGTAGTTGTCATATTTGCCAGCACACAACTAGTGTGTAATTTCTAAACAGTTGTTTTTAACTGCAAAAAACTATTAATACAAAGATATAATGCTAATACTATATTTATGAATGAAAATGTCCTTATTTAACACAAATGTACTAACTAGGAATGAAATGTTTGAGATTGCTTTTAAATTACAGCTACCAAAAGAAAATGATCAGTAAAGGGGATAGAAGCAGCAATTATGGCAAAATATTGATAATTGTCAAACCTAGGTGAAAAAATACTGGTTTCATTATACTATTTGATCTATTTTGTATGTTGACAATTTTCACAGTAAAATTTTAATGAACCTAAAAGGAAATCCTTCAAGTATTTCTTTGTCAAATCCAAGTCAAAATCTTGATAATTGTCAAACCTAGGTGAAAAAATACTGGTTTCATTATACTATTTGATCTATTTTGTATGTTGACAATTTTCACAGTAAAATTTTAATGAACCTAAAAGGAAATCCTTCAAGTATTTCTTTGTCAAATCCAAGTCAAAATCTTGATAATTGTCAAACCTAGGTGAAAAAATACTGGTTTCATTATACTATTTGATCTATTTTGTATGTTGACAATTTTCACAGTAAAATTTTAATGAACCTAAAAGGAAATCCTTCAAGTATTTCTTTGTCAAATCCAAGTCAAAATCTATTTCCAAAAAGTCAATACACCAGAACTGAGAAATAAATATAATTTGTATGTAAGAAATTAGACAGCTACAGTAGAGTTTAACGTGTTATCAACGGCTTTGTAAGAAAAGTTATTCCCATGTTTTTGATTTGGGGAAATTTCTCTCATACACAACTTCAAGTATAGTGTAATACTCACCCAAATCCAAAAATCAACATGGCTTGTGGATCTTTACTATGAAGATGCTTTATTGCCTATTACAAACTATCTCTGAGCAGTACAAAAGTTTTCTTTTTTTAAAAAAAAAAACTATGAAGACTCTTATGTCACAAATACTACTCAAGGATACACAGAAGTCATAGCACAATACAAATCCTGTTCTTTAGAATAGCTATCATTTACTCATTCCATTTTTTTTTTTCTAAAAACTTGGTATTATAATTTTATTTTGTAACGTTAAATTCTATTACCAATCTTCCAATTAACAATTAACAGAAGGTAACTGTTCATTCCTAACTCTAAATAAAAAGTAAAGTAATTGTCAAATTTTGAAACATACTTTCCAGAAACCTTCTGATGTTTCTATTACCATACTGATCATGATAAAATACCTCAAGGTTTTATTTGGAGAATGAACCCTTCTCCAAAGTGCCATGAAAGTTTTTTTATAAGTCAAACACTACTGGTCTCTTCATTCTCATTATCTGGTCATCCTCACAAAACAAAGCAGCAAGAAAGTGTTACCTTGACTTTTAGCAAATGTTTGCTACCACTTCACTTTTAGCAAGAAAATAAACCAAAAAGAAACTATACACTAGAGAATAGAGCAATATTTATTTCCTTCATCTGTAACTCATCTGGACCTGAAAGAGTACCCCTACGGAATCCTCAGTTGCTGCCAATGCAGTCGCTCAACAGTTACATTAGAATAAAGTAAAATTAAATCTTACATTCTGAAATACAGAGAAACTGAAGGAGTCACTATATGGTAAAATGAAAAAGTTTTTAAAGTTTTAATGTACTCTTAGTTTAACAATCGCATTATTGCCACGGAGAGCACAGATGTTTAATTTATGAATGGGAAAAAACTGGTAGAGTATATTTATTCAAAAAACCAAACGTGTATTTGAAATATAAGAATCTTAGCTCTAGAATTAATTGGCTAAAATACAGCAAATGATGAGCTTAATTCTTAGTATTTCTTCAATTTTGGTTTATAGGCTTTGGGTCTTCATTCACAATGATTCTAGTATTTAACTTGATGCCTTTCTCGCAAGCAGATTCACTGAAATATTTATTGCCCTTCAAAGATATTTTACTATTCTCATTAACTTTTGAACAGAAATGCTGTTATAAGCTTAAGAGAGCTTATAAAAACTATATCTAGTTATCATCCAAGTATAAAGCTCACTTCAAAAATTTTGTTATTTACAGAAAAAGGAAACTTAAAGAGGTTAAATGACTTGCCTAAGGTCACTTGTAAGCAGCAGAAAGCTAGATGATACTTTCTTACTACAAGCATTTCTTACCAATGCCTTTTCCAGGGTTATTTTGCTTTTTATTTGGAAAGATGTTTCAATCCATCCAAATCTCTGTATTTACTGAACTTTTAGGTTACTGTACACTTTTTTGTTTCTTCAACCACAATAAGCAAATGTAGGTTAAACAGTTGATTACTGGGATTTTATAGGGGGAAGTGCTGGGATATGGAGAAAGGATCTGAATAGCACAGATTCTTAAGGGAGATTAAACATCTCCTTTTTAAAAAATTGACAAGTTATTTGGAAAGTAGAGCTGAATCAAGGTCAGAAGGCACTTGACCAGAGTTCAATACACGGATACTCAAAAATCTCTTGAAATGTCTTACAGGATTAAGATTGTTTCCTACTTAGTTTTAAAATGTATTTTATCACTCTTAAAATCTGTAAACCATACACATGTTTGACAAACCTCCACTAATCAATATGTCTTCCCCTGTACTCCAAGGTCTTTAAAGACAAGGAATGTGTCTCCTGTATCTTTATGAATCATAGCTCTGCACAGTACCAGGCCCAGTTTCTTAATTAAGGCTGACCAAACAGAAATGCGCTAGGAATCCTGATTTTCAGGCCATGCAGTAATCAGAAAATTTGTAGCAAAAGCATTATGATTAAAATCTATTTTAACAATTCAACAAAACTATAATTTAAAAATACATAATCAAGAGATAATTCTTAGGCTAAGAAAAGAGAATGAAAATTATCTTTCATGACACTAGGAATGAAGGCTTCCTTTCTCCCCCCACAAGAAATATTATGGAGAAAAAACTAAAGGGTTTTAATGAAGTCACCTTCTTCCAAGTAAAACTGTTAATATTTATATTGTGGAAGTAAAAAAGACTTACGTGTACTTTTTTGCCAAGAATTGGGGACAAAATAAACCATGACAATAAGTAAAACTTACCACTCTAGATATAATTTTGAGTTCATTTATTTAAGTAAAACTGGTGCAGCAGTGGGATAGTAGTGAGGCGAATGATCGCCAATGGGTAAGAATAAGGATTCAGCTACTAATTTTCTTATGTATGGTAAGAAAAAAAATTCTCAATTTTGCAGAATTTACATGAAAACCACCACTACACATCACTACACATCACTCATATTTCTATTACACCACCACCATTCAAAAGATAAACTTCTTGACAAATATTATCTATTAGGCTTTGTGTTAAATGTGTCACACATAATTGTCACAAACTCATGTATCTCAGGGATTAAGAAGACTAAAGACATGTAGTTTAAAAAGTCTGCCCAAGGAATTTGTATTTAAATAAGGATGTATTTTTCAAATTTATTAAATATAGAAGCTCATCATTTTTTGGAGTATGAAATTCGTCCACAGTAATTAGAATCCTAAGTGCAGCTGAGTGATTTATAATTGAAGACTTTTTTGTTGTGTACTGGACGGCCACTGCCATTAACACAACAAATTCTTTAAGTGATGTTAATAGTCAAAACCGCAAAAGCACATCTAATATACCACAGTATGGCAGTTTTTGGTGTACGTTCCTATTTCTGAGCGCTTCAGGGAAAGCACGTCAAGTGAACTAAGTTAACTTCATCTGAAACAAGCAATCGTCAAGTTTTAAATCTACTGGGCATGTTATGAGCTAAGTCCTGGCACACGTTCTACTGGGGGTGGGGTGCATTTACAAATGCGACAGTGTCACACCCCCTTCGATTTTCGCTGCTTTTGCCATTTTATTTCACTTGAAAGTTAAATCACAAACGGTGTTTCAAGCAATAAACCCAAGTGATTCATCTGAATGAAACTAGCTGGGATTCATTTCTAGATTCACAGACAGGCGCGTCTCGGCAGCCAACACGGGACCTTCCTGAACAACTTGGAGCATTTTGCAGGCCGCCGCGGCGGCGGCTCACGTCCCTGCGGGTGGTGGGGATTCCTCGGGACGAGCCTGACGGTCGGGAGGGAGCGCCTGCGTGTGGGGACGCAAGCCAAAGGACAGCCACGAGCTCCCCGACAAACACAAACCGAGCCCGCGACGCGACAGCCTCCCCCCCCCGGCGGGGCCGGCTTCGGGACGCGCGGGGAGCGCCGCGCGTCCAGCGGGTCATGGAAAGGCCGCTGGGGGGCCCGGCCGGGAAGCGCCGCCGCCGCCTCCGAGCATCAGGGGGAGGGGCACCCCGAGGGCCGGCGGGCGGGGGGCGGGGGAGCGGGGGCCGCCCGCGGGGCGCCGGGGACCGGCTGACAAAGGGGTGCGGGCGCCGGGCGCCGGCCGGCGCGGGGCGCGGGCGGGCGCGGCCGGCAGGGGGAGCGCGGCGCGGGTCACGTGAGCGGCTACGGGAGCCGGGAGGGCGCGGGCCGAGGGTCTCTCCCACCGCCGGAACCGCGGCGTTACTCACTGGAGGCGCGGGCTCTTCTTGCCCTGAGCTGGAGACGGGGGCGTCGCGGCCTGGGCCTGCGGCCCCGGGGCGTCGGGCGGCCTGGCGCTGGGGCTGCTCCTCCGCCGGCGGGGGTACTCGGCCTTCCTCCGGCGGGACACGGCGGCGGCGGCGGCGGCCGCCGCGGCCCGGCCCCGGTCCCGACCGCCCCTCAGCACGCGGCTGCTGGTCGTCCCCGCGGGCGCCGCGGCCGCCGGGGGCTGAGGGGGGGGCTCCTCCGGAGTCGCCTTGGCCGCCGCCGCCTCTCCCCCTTCCTGGTCCTGCTGCTCCGGGGGTCTCGGCTCTTCCGTCTCCCCCGGCATCGGGGCTCGTCCGTCCCCCACCCCCTCGTCCCAGGCGGCGGAGGCGGAGGCGGCGGCGGCCGCGGCGCTGCTCCCCCCGCCCCCCTCACCTCCCGGAGCGTCCGGCTCACTCTCACTCTGCGCTCCTTTCCCCCCTCCCCTCCGCCCGGCTCCGAGGGCGCCCCCCCCACCCCCTGCCACTCAAGGCCCGCTACCGCTGGCGGCGCGCGCGCGCCCGCCGCAGACGCTCGGCGGGCCAATCGGAGAGGAGGGACGGCTGCCCCGCCCCGCCCCTCGCGGGCCCTCACGCAGCGGCGTACCGGGTTCCCTCCCCCACCCCTTCCGTCAGCCAATCAGGAAACGGCTCCAAGGGAGCGCGCGAGGTTTCCTTCCCCGCGCACCCGTTCTCACCGTTAAACGGCTGCGTCTCGCGACAATCCCAAAGTGACCTTTTTTGCCCCCCTCCGGAGCTCAACGCGCACTACGGGCAGTGGGAGGGGCAGGTCTCGCGAGGAGGCTGGTCGGAAGAAAACGCACCTCTCTCCCCGCCTCGCACGCACCCTGGAGCGGCTGCGCGCGCACCTGCCTCCCTAAGGAGCCGCTAATGCCACAAGGGCTCTTCCTAGCCTTCCTTAAGCCGCGGAAGCCTCGGCGTTCTCCTGCCTCCACCCTGACCCCACTTTCCTGTCTGTGGCCTTTCTGCCCCCAGCGCCGCCAGGTCTTGCGGGGAGAAGGGGGAAATTTTTTGAGCTGTCGCTTCTCCTTTAAGAAAAAAAGCCCCGCCGGCTGCCGGATGAAAGTCTCTGAAAAAATGGCGGCGGTAGAACAGAGGCGGGGTCGTGAGGGCAAGGCGGGCCCGCCTCCTGGCGCATGTGCATAGCTAGCTGGCCCCGAGGCATTCTGGGGGATGAAGTCCTACGTAGCCGATCCTTTAGGGAAAAAGATCGGCCGCCCAAAGTGCAGAGGATGCTGGGAGCTTTGGGCCCCGACTTGACGGGAAAGGTAGTCCGCGCCCTCCGCAGCTGGGCTCCGGCCCCGGGAGGCAGTGCTTCCGGGTCGGGCCGCGACGCCTGCGCAGATCCGGCGCCATGTGGGGCCAGCTGCTGGTCGCGGGGGCCCGGGACGACTTCCCCTTCTCTTTCGCTGGGCGCTGGGGAAGCGCGTGTGGGGCGGCCACGTCACCGCCTGTACCTTGGCGTGGCCCGGGGCGCCTCCTCCGGGGCCGGCCGGCGCTCATGCCTGCGGGACTCGTCTCGTCATCCCGGGGCTGACCCACTGACCCGTCCGGAACTGAATCCGGTTCCGCCGGGCCGCGGGGGCCGAGCACGATCCCCGCCCCGCATTAGGTTCCCCGCAGAAGCCGGGGTGGGGGGGCTGTAGGGTCGCGCTCCCCGAGACGCCGCCGGCCGCGGCCCCTGCGCTGGAGGGGGCGGAGGCGGAGGCGGCGGCGGGACTGGGCGCCGGGCCCCGAGGCGCAGCCCCGCGCGTGCTCCGCGCGCGGAAACCACCTGCCGCTGCGGCTTGTCAGAGTCGCGGCCGCACAGGAAGCTGGTCGGAAGAGCTGCTTTGTCAGAAGTTACTTTTTTGCTCACCAAGGTGTGCAGCTAAATTAATGCGCCAAACGGAAGTTTCCATTGGCCCATTTTCAGGTCGCCTTGGGTGATTCCAGTGGCCTCTGCGTTCCTTCCTTTCGTTCGTTCTAATCGGGGAGCTATTTGCGAGAATGGCTCTCACCCCCGGAAAACAGTGCGCCAGGAATTAAAAGCCCCCGAGGAAGCGTATGGACGCATGGTCTGGGAATCCAATTCGTATTTTCCCATTAATCATTCCGTTAAACTGCGGCGGGAGTCCGGTATTTGTAAGCCAAGTGCTGAAGTGCGTTTTTCCTTCCAGCATTTTGGCTCAGTTACTGCTTCAGATTACAGAAATGTTTTCTCTGTTGAGTGTCGTGCGCTTTCATAAGGCTAACGGCTTATCAGTTGTAAAAAGTGACATAGCGTGGACGGGAAGTTTTCAAACCCGGTTCCTAATGAGCAGATTTTTGGAACAGCACTGACATCCAATGGCTGCTCAAAGTAATGCAGAGTAGGAATCTCCTTACCATTTGAAAAATGTATATACATCTAAAAATCTATACATCGATACATCTATCTACATATATCTGTATATATGTAAATGTCTATGTATAACTGTATATAAGTGTCTCTGTGAAGCGGAGAGTGAGTGATTCATTCAGATCACCCCCCCCTCCAAAATAAAACACCATCCCAAACCTGTGTTGTAAAGGAAGGATTACACACTTTGAAGCTAAATCCGTAGGATAGTAAGTAACAAACAGCCTCTGAATTCTGCTCTATTTGGCAAATTAGAGAAATTATTTGAATCTCTTTCACCACTGGTAAAAAATGGGATAACATCTATTTCTCAGGGACATAATTATTATAATTCCTTCTAATAGAAGCCTTTTTGTAAATGTTTTATTTCATTCAAAGTGAATAAAGTCATAGCAGTAAAAAAGACAAATGTTAACCTTAGAATCACTTTTCCAAGAAACTGCTATAAAGCAATATAACCAGGCAGGACTTATGCTTGTTTGAAATATCTACAGCTTAGCACCTGGTGGCTTTTTTTTTTTTTTTTTCAGTTTGAGATTTATTCTTTTTTTTTTTTTTATAGAGGTATTTTTATTTATTTATTTATTTGTTTGTTTGTTTGTTTGTTTTGTTTATACATGCACTGGGTACAGTCAGAAGTGCGGGAGGGTGAGAGAATTCACCAGAGCCAGAGCGGGGAGCAGAGCAGGCAGAAGGACCGAAGTACACTGCTGAGGGGAGCAGCAGGCGGCAGGAGAGGTCTGCGCGCCATGTGGGACCCTCCTCCGGTGGCCGGGGAGCAGCCGGGGATCGAACTGGCGCCGCAGAGGCCGTGGGCAGCTTTGCAACCCAGCGCTCAACCGCTGCGCCACCGGGGTGGCCCTGAGATTTATTCTTAACCATCTATCAGGAGTGCCTATCAAAAGAGTAGGAAAAATAAAGGAGCCCATCAAAAATAGTTTGCTGACAAGTGGGAGGGAGGGTATAAAGTTAGGAACCCCATTTAGGCAAGGAAATGTCCGAGTTATTGGTGCCATTACCTGGCATTTCTGGAATGCCCTACACATTTCCTAAGAAGTTCCACTGCCCTCTCGTGAGATAGGTGGTGTGTAGTATCAGTCCAGAATACAAAGAGGCAGGAAGGCACCATAGCTGTGGACTGAGAACGGTGCCTTAGCCACGGATACCAGGTCGTCATATGGTAGGATGCTGGACACAAGGATGCCAGGTTTTCCATATGGTAGGATGCTGGACCCTTGAGCTCAGCCAGGAGGAGGTTGGCACAGTAGGGGTCCGACTCTGAAGACAGCCAGATTTTAGTGTGTGAAATTAGCCTCTGCTGTGGGAGACAATTCATAATGATTTCACACTATATAAAGTTGTGCATTTTCTGAATATACTCTACAAGTAGCTCAGTGTCTCCAGCCTCTCCAACAAATAGTCATCGTTTTGCACTCATTTCAACATCTTGTCCTGATCGTCCTACATCTGGACTATACTGCTAGCAGTCACCCAGTCGTAAGTGACAGGGACATAGTGGAGGCCCTGGATGCCGATGACATACTCCCTGGTAGCAGAGGCATGGGGTGCTGCAGGTTACTCCTGGACTTCTTGGCGTCATTGGAGATATGGCACCCAGTGGCTTAAATCTTCCACTTTCATTTTCATCACCCTTTTAGTTGTTTGTTGTTGTTTTTGTTTTACTATCTTAGGCATTGCACGTGTGTATGTGTTCCACTCACCCTCTGCAGTTGCTTGCATTTGAACCATTGAAATAAACTAGGCCTTAAGAGTCCCTATGTGAACTCGTGTCTGTCCTTCCTTTAGTGAATTTGCAACCTGTTTAGGGAATCAGGAAAGCATAATTTCTGGATAAGTAAGTAAAGACAGCAAAATGAATTGGGAACTAGTTAACACTGATGAAAATTTGTTAGTCCTCCAGCTTCACAGGAAAAATAAAGGTGGGTTTCTTGATATACCCACATAGGGAAAAACACAAGTGGAAACCTGTCATTGCCATGAATTCAAGATGAACCCTGGCACATAGTAGGTGCTCCTGTTTTTCAAAATTAATTTTGAATCTATCAGGATACTACCAGAACTCAAATCTTACTTCATGCCTTTCTGTGTCAGTACGATTTTTTGAATTCTGACCTACAAAAAAGGAGGAAAAAAAAAAAAAAACCAAATCAAAAGAGAGGAAGTGCTAAGCAAATAAAGGAACCAAAAAAGGTTATAGAGGCTGCTGCACACTGTCTCATTCAGTTCCTCTGCGGTCCTCTTCCTCGGCACTTGCGAGAGCAGCTTCTCACCACCTGTGGGATTAGAGCATCTTGGGTGTGTGACTATGGAAGAGTTGGGTGAGTGTGGAGCTTCTTGGAGGAGAAACTGAGGGAAATGAAGACTTGGCTTAATTTCTTCATATGTGTTGGGGTGTACTTTTAGCCAGATGGAGGGTAGTGCTGGCAGATTTTATTTTCACTTCTCTTCTGATCTCAGCCCAAGCAAGAGTGAAACATGAGGAACTATGATTGAGGGAACTATGGGTTCACTGTTTACAGTAACACATCGGGCAGAGCTTGGTGCTAACCACAAAGCAAGCTCTGCACAAGTGCTTTTGGATTGAATTGTGATTAAAATTATTTTATGAGCATTTTTCTTGTTGGGGGTTACTGGAGACCATGGGAGCAGGTGTGGGGGTCACCCAGTTAGCAATTACAGATTGGGGGAGCAAATGAAAGAAAAAGGAGAGGGATAAAGGATGTTACAAACAGAAGAAAGAATAAAAGTACAAGAATGATGGATCTGCGAAGGTTGGAGGCAGGCCAAGGTGGTTTCATCTGTTCCATGGCTTAGTATTAAATCAAGAATATATAGCACTATAGCTCCAGTGATTTTTGTTGCTAAACTTTTTATTCAGAGGAATTCTGAAAGACAAGATTACTATGGGCTACAAATATGATACCTCCTTCCACTCCAAAGCAATAAAAACCAGCAGTGAAAATATTGGCCACATGGCTCAGAGAGATTCCCTGAGTTCAAACCTCTGGAGTTAATGTAAGCTTTGTCATTCTTGGGACTCATTCTATATCCTTGGCCAATTTTTGTTGCCAGCATCCTTTCTTACTAACACTGAGTTACTAACTTTTGCCCAATTTCCATGCTGTCTTAATTCTCCATTTTTGTACGTTGGGGTATGTCAAAAGTGCAAATAACTGCAAAAACATCTCTTGCACATTTTCATTGCTTGGAGTGGGTTGGAGAGCTGGAGGGATAGAGTAAGAAAGGCAGAGGAAGGGGGAAAGATGTTAGTGAGAGGGGAAAGGCAGTGTTTAATAAATATTAAATTGTTTTGGAGGCTGTCTATTTTGATGCTTAGCATAGAATATATTTTGGACTTGGGGCAGAATCCAAATTCTTATCCTATATGAGGATGAGGGAACCTTACATTTCTGCCTAAGTTCCAGAAGATCCAGCTATGGTTTATTTTATTTTATGCATTACTTAATAACAGATGCAGTTCTTTCAAAACAGAAATAATCAGCGACTTATGCTAAAGCTAGACAATTTTACATGGGTTAATCAATTTAGCATCTGAACCAACCCTCTAAAATAGGCATTATCTACATTTTTTTTTAGGGTTTATTTATGCATACAAGAACTGGGATACAAACCAGAGGTGGGCGGGGGGTGGGGAGTGAGAGGATTCACCAGAGACAGAGTGGGGAGCAGAACAGGCAGTCTGACTAAAATACACTGCTGAGGGGAGCAGCGGGCAAGTCAGGAGAGGTCTGCTGTGCTGTGTGGGCAGATTGCTGGCTGCCCGGGGATCGAACTTGTGCTGCAGAGGCTGTGGATAGCTTCATAGGGCTGTGCTTAACCCCTTGCGCCACCAGGGAGGCCCTACTTTTTTTTCAAAATGAGAAAAATAAGAAAAACAAAATAATTTGTTCAGTATCACTCTCAAAGCACCCGCCACCAATAGCTTCGAAACTACAAAAAGTTCTCCTATTTTAGAGGCGTGTTGGTTCAAGTGTTTCAGCTAATCAACCCAGAAAATTAAAAAAATTATAACAGATACGGATTTTCACAGATTTGTATTTTCTGAGCAGGATGAATGATAGAGAAATCTGGTCCAGAAATAGAGAATGTACTGAGCAAGCTGAAGGTAGCATTCACGAGCCAATCCAGGTGTCCCAACCTCACAGGTTGTCCATAGCTACCCCTCCAGTGCATCTGCAAATTGTCATCTGCCCAATATCTATCAAAGATAGGTGGGTCTTCTTCCCTACTGTGAAGAAGCAGCCTGGCAGGCAGGTCAGCACAGGCAGGCCCCTACTGCCTCTCTGCAGAGCTTCCTCCAGCCTGGGAGTATCTACCAAGATTTTAAAAACCTGAACAACATGAGGATGAGATAAAGGGTACTCGGGCCGATGCTGTCTCTGAGTGAAATCAGTTCAATCCAGTGAGAAGCCCCGAGAGACCTCACTTTCCTCCTTCCAGCGCTGATGTGATTTGAATTCCGCAGATGAGAGGCAGGCCATTGAGAAGGATCACATAGTTTTCATCTAAATGGACTCTACTGCCAGTCATCCCCGATTTGTCACACTGAAATTAGTCATCTGCCAATTACGGAATCTGACAGAAGGCAAAATAATCTTGGGGTGTTGGTGATATGTGTGTTCCCTAGGAAACAGGAAGAGAAAGGTCTGCTAACTCATGACCCAGAAGGGAGAGTTTTGTTTAGTTTGTTCTTCAACTAGGGATTTGCTTTTCTTACAGAGGGTCTCCTGGCCCCCCTCATCTTTATTGTAAACACCTTTTTATTTTGAATATCCAAGAGGATCCATGACTTCTGGTTGGAAAAAAAGCTTAGAAAATACAAAAGGCAAGGACTCTATCTTAACAGAAGGGTGTGGAATAAAACTTTGGTACTCAGAAATCTGGAATTTAACTTTCTACTTTAATTTTCTTTTTCTTAAAAAAATCCCTCTTTTTGGAAATTTTAAAATATACAAAAGTAAATTGTTTAATAAAGTCAGGTGTACCTGTCAACCAATTTATATAATCATCAATGCTTGTTCAATCTTATTTAATTTATTCCCCCACCCACTCTCCATTCCTGGATCATTTAAATTTTACACATTATATAATTCACTCTGAAAATATTTCATCACAATCTTTTAACAACCACAACCTGTGTTTTTAAATCCACTAGAGATACATTAATAGTTCTTGACCCACAATTTGAAAAAAAATGTTCTAATACAGATACTTCATCAGAGAGGTGAGGAAACAGCTTCAGAGAAGATCCTAAATACAGGTGGCCCAGAGAATCCAGTGAGAACGGGGATTAGAATTCCCGTCTTGACATTAGTCTCGGGTGTAGGGGTCAGACAGGCCAGGACCTAACTGCCAGATTCTGCAGTCAGTACAGTGTGACATGAAATGAGTTATGTCGGGGGCCTCCCTGGTGGCGCAAGGGGTTAAGCACCAAACTATGAAGCAATCTGTATTTGATTCCCGGCCGGCTGGGGAGCAACCCACATGGAACAGCAGACCTCTCCTGTCTCACCCGCTGTTCCCCTCAGTAGCATACTTCGGTCAATCTGCCTGTTCTGCTCCCCACTCTGTCTCTGGTGAATCCTCTTACCCCCCGCATCTCTGGCCTGTACCCCAGCTCTTGCATGCATAAATAAATAAATCTTTAAAAAAAAACAAAAAAAAATTAGTTATGTCTCTTTCTACAAAATAAAGATAATAATATCACTCATGTAAACCATTAGAATGATTAAATTCTAATGTAAAGTCCTTAGCACACTGCCTGTCATATATTAATTTTTATAATTATTAATAATTTTATCATAACAGAAACAGAACAGTGTAATACTTATAAAGTCCTTTGGTTTTCCCCAAGAAAACCACAAGGGAAACAAATTTCAATTCTTTGGATTGCAGCATCTGATTTTGTATTATCTGATTTCCCCCTAATCCTTTTATCTCTTCATACCCTAGATGACAAAATACTTTGTTCTGAGAATTTTGTTTTGTGCTCGGGTTATAAAGAAAAAATCACCAGTGTTGAGAATAAGTGTTACTGTCCTTATATACTTTGAAAAACAGCAATGTAATTACCGGTGTTTTTCTGATAGGAAAACTATGTAGGATTTACTTTCTAGTTGGGCATCTTGATAGTGATCCCAGTAAATGAATAACACTTTATACCCTGTATATAAGAAGTCAAATTGTACAGTGAGACTCTGAAATTGAATGCTTCCATGAGAAATAAGGAGCAGGCAACGGTGCATGGACAAATGAGATATCTCCCCTTAGAACACACCCCATTTTTGAAGTGAAATAAGGAGTAAGGGAAGACATTTGAAAATAGCCTTAACCCAAGAGGAAAGAGGCATGAACGGAGGCACGGTGGGGATATTTAAGAGGCTCACTCTACTCGAGAAGACATTCTCTATGATAATCCTCTTGTGTATTTTGATACAGATGCCTTATTGGAGGAACTGGAACTTTCCACCCTCCAGGACAGTGGTGAATGTTCCAGCCCAGTCCCTCCTCCTCTGGATCAGGGGCCCAGAAAGGAGAGAAACCCTGCCAAGACTTCAAAGGTCCTGCCCGCTGAGGACCGCACAAATCCTTCGTCGGTAACTGCATGAAGTTCCTTGCTTATAGATGCTTAAGTACATTTCTGAAAATCAGTTGTATCGCACATGAAATGATGTGAAAGGAGAATCATGTACCTAAGAAAGAGAAAAAAGTCCCCCCCCCTTTTTTTAAAGATTTATTTATTTTTATACAAGAACCGGGGTACAGGCCAGATGCGTGGGAGGGTGAGAGGATTCACCAGAAACAGAGCGGGGAGCAGACTGACAAAACAGAACAGGCAGACTGACAAAATACACTGCTGAGGGGAGCAGTGGGCATGACAGGATAGGTCTGCCGCGCCATGTGGGACTCTCGCCGGCTGGCCAGAATCGAACCCGCATTGCAGAGGCTTCGGACAGCTTCACAGTGATGCGCTCAACCGTCAGTGCCACCAGGGAGTCCCAAAAGTCCCTTAATGATATCTTAAAGGTGGTTGCTTTTGGAAAGGACAAGAATTGAGAAAAACCAGCCTAGAGAAACAAAATCTGAGAAATAGAAATAGAAGGCATGGTCATAAGCAGTGGATTTCCGGCTTCACGTGGGAGATTCTGATATCCCTGTTCGGCATCTGAGATGTATGAGGTGCTGGATAAGGCCAGCACTCACCTGGTCAAGCCAATGACAGCTCAAACGAGTGTCCTTGGGGTGACTTTTTAAGGTTATCACTTTCCAGGTCCTATTGTCTGCTGAATACATTAGCAAGTTCAATTAGGGGACCATCACGAACAAACTAAACTCTTAAGAGATGATGTCATTTATTTAAAAAAAAAAAAAAGAAATCCCAATTTTGAATTTCTAATTATAGTGAAAAAGTATTAAGTTGCATAGTATTTGCTGATAGATATAGTTTCTTCTTGTGGCTAAGTCTGCATGCATCTACATTACAGATTGCTTGATGAAAATGGAATTAGCATAAGAGGAATTAAGTAGATGCTCTTCTAATCTGGTCTTCATCCTTGTACTGTGTCATATCACCTGTAGCACAGGCCTGAAATCTGAACCCATGAGTTGGTTCTCCCTTTAGCTGTTCCTTCCTCCAGCTATATACACACAGTTTTAAGCTTGCTTATTTATCCTTCTGCTGGAGAGTTGTTGTCTTTATTGTGTTGGTTCTCCCTTTAGACTATAGCCTGAGGCTCCTGGCAGGTCCCCTTCCCTTGCTCTCACCCCCATGCCCTGCAATTCATTCTCTCAACAGCAGATAGGTGTGAAAACTTAGTTCATATCATTATTAAACTCAGAACCCCACCATGACTTCCCTGTCATTTGGCAGAAAAGCCACAGTCTCACACTCACCTTAGTGCTGTAATCACAAGTTTTGATACACGTGAAAGAGCCCTCGGTTTACGTGTGTTTTCCTGACATTCCATTGGCTTTATTTATATGATGTTTTCTTATGAATAAATCACCATGGACCTCCATAGGTGGTTCTTCTATTGTCTCATCTAGTGGCATGTAAAACACACACACACACACACACACACAGAATGAACAGAGTTCTCGCTTTATTATGGCTAAATCCAAAAGAAGAGCATTGATGATTTGACTCTCTTATCCTGGTACTGGTCAGATAAAACCTAGCTGGTAGTGCCCCTGTCAAGGATAATACATAGGGTGAAGGCTGTTAAAAGTTAAGAGCTCAAGCACCAAGAGTCAGCACCAGCTAAGTCCTATGGTCTTAAGGGAGTGACAGGAAAGCTTTTGAGGCATTTTCCCCTGCTGGCTACTTGGTATACCAAACTTCAGACCCTGCTGTGGTCCATGTGGTGACCTATGAGGTGCACAGGCCCTCCTCCTGGCCAGACAAAAATACAGGAAATTGTAGCTTAAGGTTATGCAAATTATGTTTAGGAAATAGAGGCCAAGCATTCTTTCCAAAACATTCTTGTTAAAGAAATTTTATCATTTATTGTACATGTAAAGCTATTTATTTTATTAATTGGTAATGCTTTTTAATATTTTAATTTTGCAATGAGTGCTTTTATGAGCATCTGCCTCAAAACAATACCAAAACCCAAAACTAGACATTCAAATTCCTTAAGGGGCCTCCCTGGTGGCACAGGGGGTTGGGATGCAACCTATGAAGCTATTCACACCCACTGTGGCACCTGTTTGATCCCCGGCCAGGGAGCTACCCACGTGGCACAGCAGACCTCTCCTGGCTCGCCTGCTGCTCCCCTCAGCAGTGTATTTCATTCAGTCTGCCTGTTCTGCTCCCTGCTCTGTCTTTGGTGAATCCTCTCACCCCCCACACCTCTGGCCTGTCCCCCAGTTCTTGTATGAATAAATAAATCTTTAAAAATTTTTTCTTAAGGAAGTCAATGATGTCTGTGTAATTTGCACAAAATACTTGTCAATGTTTCCCATCTCCACTGTTCCTTTGAAAATCAGAAGACACGCATCTGGCAAAGTAACAGCATCTACTTCAAAAGTTAAAGGTTAATTTAAGGAGAATGGGCCTGAAGTTGACATTTCAACATGCGCAGCTGAGGAGATGCATTTGAATGTCATCGTGAGGCAACTTTGCCATTTAATATGTCAGTCGTTTTCATGTCTGTGTAGCTTTAGAGCTTGGTCTTACTCCTCCACATGCTGCACTCATCCTCCACTAAACCTTGGGTGCCAGTGCCCTTCCCCTTTCCCCTCCCCATTCCTGCTGGAAACCAAATTTTCCACTAGTTCTAAGAATTGCTTTTGCTGTGCCTTGCCAGTCTCTGTGTTGTTGTTCTTATTTATTTTCCAGATCAGTGAGTCCATTAGATATCTCTTTCACTTTCTGACTTCCCTTAGCATCATCACCTCGAATCCGTCCATTTGGTCCCAAAAGACACTTTTTTATCTTTTTGTAACAGCTCAGTAGCATTCCACTGAGTTTATATTCCATGATTTCTTTATCTACTCATCTGTCGTGGGGCACTTTGGTTAGTTCCAAGGCTTGGCGGGTGTGGAGAGCACTGCTATGCGCTCAGGAGCAGTCTTTTCATAGTAGTGTTTTCATGGCCTTTCGGTAAATACCCAGCAGAAGTATTACCGGCTCATATAGTATTTCCGTTTTTTTATGTTTTAAAGGTGTCTCTAAACTATTTCCCACAGAGGCGGCCCCAGATCGCCTTCTCCCCAGCAGTGGTTGAACACTCCCTTTCTCTGCGGGCTCACCAGCCTTTGAAGCTTCGTGTTCGCTTCTTGTTCCATGCTCCATTCTTGCAGGAGTGAGTGAGGTGGTGTCTGGCTGTGGTTTTGGTTTGCATTTCTCTTGTCATGAGTGACGTTGAACCATTTTTCATCTGCCTTAGGCCATCCAAATGTCATCTTTAGAAAAGTGTCTACTTCGTTCTATTGCTCATGTTTTGATCGAGTTACCTGGTTTTTATTTATTGTTTTATTTTTTAGTTATATAAGTTTATATTTTGGAGATCAGTCCCTGATCAGATGTGTGATGTGCAAATGTCTTCTCTCATTCTGCAAGTTGCTTTTTAGTTTTGTGATGATTTCTTTTGCAGTATAATACAAGCCTTTTAGTTGATAACTCTTCTAGATTAATTTTGGTCATTTTCAATCCCAGGTTTTCTCGTGCCTGTAAGTAAAATGAACTGTTAGTGACGAATGAGTTGATCCCTTAGTAAACCACCAGATAACAGCTGCTGTGTATCTGTTCTATCAGAAGCCTCAATTATGAAATTTGTTCACTCCAAAATGGTTTAATTTTGTCATCTAATCCAAAGGATCAAAATTAAGTATTTGCAAATTCATTCTTTTCTCAAAAATGAAATATCTGATGTTGTTAACGCCCTGGCTCATTTCACTGGAGAGTTAAACATTAGTGATAAGAGGTTTGTGTGTGTGTGTGTGTGTGTGTGTGTTGGTAATATGAATACAAATTTTGCTGGAGCACAGCATTGTGGTAAAAGCAATGCTCTTATATTATTAAAAACCTGCGAAGCAGACATAGAATTGAAATGAACAACAGTTGTGATGTGTGCCAACTTCATGACCACATCCAAACAAGTGGCAGTTCAATTGATCTACCATTGTCAAAATTTACAAATATTACAATTTTACATGTATATATGTATATACACCATCACATGTATGTATATGTGTCACCTACAAACTTTTGTGCCAGAAGCTGATGTTGGTACAAATATTTCAGCACAGCTGCATGTATTCTCTCTCTCTATTGCCTGTCATCTGTTGGACTTTAGAAATGCCTGAGCCTTTGAAAAACCACTTTGAAAAGCCACTTAACTGTAGGTTGCATTATGTGCAAAATCAGCTGGAAATATTTAATCAGATTATTCAATGAATGTAGCATGAAAATTAGCTTTTGAAGCTTTTAGCAAGTTGCAATTATGTAAAACAAAGCTGGCAAAAAGAAAGCAAGCTCAAATTTCTCCATATCAAAGCAGGGGAGGAGTTGAACAAATCAGAAGATGAGAACTCACATGGTCTATTACCTAATTTGAAAATTACGCTTTGGAAAAATCTCCAGCTCTGAATTTTAATTAGATAAATTTATATTCTCCTCCAGAATGGGATGAAATTATAAATGTCTATGATTTTGCAGAATCTGCATTTGATGAAATGTTAAAAGGAATCACAAATAGAGATAATTTCAGAGATGTGTCTTGAAAAAACGTTATTAAAGAAAAGTGTTCTGAATGGAGGCAGAAAAACAGCATCTGAGAAAATATTGGGGCTAAAATGTTTACATATTTTAATATAAAATAGAATTAAGACTATCTCCTGTTTACTAGAATTTGCTCTGAATTTATAGATTCATCAGGACCTCATGAGAGAGGATTTTACCAATTTAAAAAATGATATTTTTTTAAAAAAAATTATGGTGTACAGAGAGGCATTAATTAAAAGGGTCAAAAATTTCAAATATATTAACCATAAAATGCATCTTTGTAGAAGATTGCATTTTTATGAAAATTATGAAAATAGTATCATGTAAAAAAGCCTTTTTTTCAGAAAAATTTCCACATCACATTATTAGAGACAACAATGGCTAAGAAACCAATTGACATACATGGATATATATCAAGAACAGTTACACATTGTACTACTTTTAAATGTTCAAATAATCAATGTAAAAGATTTTTTAAAATCTGAGGTCTGATTTTGCTTTATTATTCAGAGGTATGTGTACTTTAAGAATAGTCTATAAAATTTTATTTTGAAACTAAATTATTTTAGAGGACTGCCAATATAATGAAACCAAATTGTAGTCAATGTACATAGTTCAAAATTATGTAATGTCAATTATTTTTAGTACCTACTTTACTTTCCTAGTGCACTTTCCTAACCTGTCTCATTGGTTCGTTCTGCTCAGACCACACTAATCTTTTGTTAGTGTGTGACTAAGGGGTACCTCGGGATCCCCTAACTTGCATGCTTAAAGGAGGCCAGCCATCCACACACAGACAAAGGAGACTTAGTAGAAAAGCACTTTAATAGAGAGAGAAGGAGAAAGCATAATAGTTTCCAAATAAAGCACCAAAGTTACCCATCCCCTGCTGGGTAAATACCCAGCCAAATAGAGTTGGCCAGAAGTAGGCCCAAAATCTTGCCAAAGGTCTAAGGCACCATTTGGCAGGGAACCACAGGAAAGGGGCCAAAAGGGCCAGGCGAGTCTGGGACAGAAGGAGCAAATCAAGGTAAGAGCTGCCATTGTCAGCCTCCCCATGTGTCCCTCACCCACATCTCTTTCAAGTGTCTCTGGACTCCACGTGTCTCCTCCAAGTCCCCCAAGTCTCCGGTGCAAGTCCAAAGTCAAGAAGCAAGTGGGCCCTTTTTCTCTATGACTCATTCCCATGTCTCCCTTCCTGTGCCTCCTGAGCTCATCTGCCATCCCTGCTAAACAACTGCCTGCTCAGCTCCACCCCTCATTAAGTAGGTTAGGGAACCTCCCCTTTCTAAGGACAGGCCTCTTTACACTTTTGTTTTCTGAATGCCGCAGGGTGCTCTCTCCCTAGATCTTGTGCCCTGAGGTCTGCTTGCTTACCTCACCTCTTGTCAGCCCTTGCTCAATTGTCTCCTTCTCATTGAGTTCTTCCTGATCAATATAGTTATAATTGCCAAGTCTCCCCCATTTCTGGTCACCCACCTCCTGACTGATTTTACATATTAGTTCATTGATTTTTTTTCATATTTTTTTAAATCTTTTTCTCATCACCATAATATAAGGGGAGACAATTTTAGTCCATTTGTTTCTTTTTTGGCTGCTACATTCCCGGCCCTGGCACATAATAGGCACTCAATAAATACTTGTCTGATAAATAAACGAATTTCTGGCCAACTATCCTTAGTGTCACATGTTATTTCTTTCTCTGTGTTAAATTTAATTGTGTTAGATTCTTCCTCTAGACCCCATCCTATCTGGTTCAAGGGCTTTGCTCTGACTCATTTTGTTTGTGGCATGATTCCTGACGATGACTGACGCCTCTATTTCAGTGTTTGGGGGCAGGGAGGGGGCTGTTATTTGTTCACATGCCAGCTCGTCTGCTTAGAATTTGGCCTTGCTCAGTGGAATGGCTGGTATTTCTCTGCCTTGTGAAAGGAGATCTCAGAAATAAGCTAGAAACCTCTGCTAGTGTGAGTGTCCAGAAGCACTGACATACTAATAACAAAATTCATTCTTGTTCTTCTATGTCACTTATAATATATCTTAGGTGGAGCTGGTGTACACTACCGACATCCCGGAGTCCAACATCTACAGGTATTTTATTTTTATTAAATATTTTTTAAATCAATGTGATTAGATGATTGCCATCCATTTGTTTTTGGACCGTAATTTACTTTGCAAGTGTTTATTATTAGAACTCCCGCCACCCTCCCCCACCTCCCACGGTCAGAGCAGAGGAGGCATTCGCCAAGCTGACGTGGCAGTTTCTCAAAGTCCTTGGCTTCCAGACAGGTCGTCAGGCTGAACGGCTCTGCTATTTCTTTCACCACCCAAAAAAAATATAAATACTCTGAGTCACCACAGATGTTGTGGCCTGGTTATTCCAGATGTCATGTCCCAGTTACAAAGCAAAAAACACCTGAAGACATTCAGCAAGATGCCAACAAAAATCAAAGCTGGGAAAGGGACAGAACCAAGATAGTGAGTCTCCCGGCAGACTCATGAATATGTCCTCCTTTCTTTATTGGCTCAAAATTTATTTAGTGGAAGGAGGGATCTCTCCTTAATTAAAGTTACATGTTAAAACAGACCCACTTACTAAATCATTTCTACTTGGCAAAGGCAGAATTGACAAAATTAAGTGGCTACTTAGCTTGTTTTCTGTTTGGGTATAGCTGACAATTTCAGAGACCAGATAACATTCTGGAAAACCAATTGAAGGACTTAAAGTTGGATGGCAAAGACTCGTGCTGGGTACTGAGGACCACACCATGTCTTGGTTGGCCTGGAGCCAGCAGTTCACACACTTGATGCGAAAATAAGGGCAGGGCCTGTTCTATCAAGTCTTTTTATAACTTCCCACTTGTGGACACTTTCTGTTTGCTGGGACTGAGGACAATGTATGGATGCATATTGCCAGTTTACTCCAGTTCCAGGAAGGTGCCCGTCAAACATGCTGGCTAGACCTCCCCTGTCCCTCCATCACCAAGAAAAAGTGGAAACAAACAAACAAACAAAAAGCAAAAAACTATCAATAGCAACAAAAGAGTGCCAGGGACACAAAGGATCCTTGGTAAATAAATTTTGAAATCCAGAAAACCAAGACTTTAATAGACGTTCTAGAGAATACAGAAACATGAAATAAGGAAACCAGCTTAACCAGTGGCCATTTTCCCATGTCCCTGGCATTGCCATCAGTTAGGGAGCACCAATACCAATGTACTGATACCCCTTCTCTGCACCATGAGTCTCTGGCCTACTTCCCTCAGAGTCAGTTCACCCTCTTTTGCCTTTTGTGGGGTTCCAGGAGTGCGACCTCTGGAGGTTGGGTTTTCAGGAACCAAGGTCAGTGGGTTTTTGCTGCCTCCATCCACTGGGAGATACTGTGGAGAAACTGGGTGGTGAAGGGGAAATTTAGGGTTTCCTTTCACCAGCCCTGTCTCCCCACGATGTCTCTGTCAGAAGTTACATCTCAGTGGCCTCAGCTACAGCAGCACTGGTGTGTGTGGTTCCCATCTGTGGCTGTCCACATAGTCCCAGGCCTCTGGTGACTTTGCCTCATTTCTTGGTCCCTTTGGCTTCATGGCTGCCTGACGTGGCCAAGATCTGGGGTCCTGTGACATCTTCCATTTTGCTTCTTAGCTCTGGCATGACCTGTGTAATCAAATTTCTGGATGGAATTCCTTGTGTTTAGACCCAGTGTTTGTATTCTCCTGAGTGGGCCTTTCCAACACCTTCCTGCTGCTGAGATACTAGCTGTGTGGGCCGGTGTGGAAGAGTGAGAGGAATCCAGGTGACCCAGTGAAATGTAACAGACTGATGCAAATCCCCGAGCCTGGTCTAACTCAGAGCCGCTATGGCTCACACACACAGAGATGACTCGGAAACTCAATTCCTACTTTCTGTTTCCACCACCCACTCAGGCCTGCTTAAATGAACCGAACACAGCTTTCAACCTTGAACATATGTTCCATACCAGGTGTGAATCTAGCCCTGCAATATTTCTAATGTAGCTCTATAACAAGAGCAATAGCAGCAGCCATTTTGAAAGGATCTTTTACATGGTAAAAAAATAGGGAGAAACAATTCATTAAAAATATCACCCAGAAATGAATGGGGATCAAAGCCCATCCCATGAAGCCCTTCACTTGAGAAGCCTGGCTTCTTTTCAGCACACCTCCTGTGGTGTGCATTCTGTTTCTGAGGCATGCAGGAAGTTGTGGCTGATGGCAAAGCACTGTCACTATCATAAGAAGCTGGGGACAAGTCAAAGGGTTTCTGACTCGAGTTCCTCTCTTTCCAGGAACATTTCTTAAAGTGATGTCATCACCAACTCTTCCAGGTTTCTCATTTTTTATTTAGAATGTCCTGTTGTTGACTCAAGGACTATTAGGGCATCACGGCAATGATCTACTTTCTCTCAGTGTGTTGCACTAGGAACCTCTTTAAACACTAGTGGGATGCATCACGAGTTAGACCTCTGCTAGGGAGCTGACCCACATAGCAGACCTTTCCTCTCTCGTCTGCTTCCCTCAGCAGTGTATTTCAGTACATCTGCCTTTTCTGCTCCCCACTCTGTCTCTGGTGAATCCCCTCGCCCCTGTACCTCTGGCCTACACGCCAGTTCTTCTATGCAAATAAAAAAAATAAAAAAAAAATAAAAAAAAAAAGCACTGGTGTGTGTCCCCACTGAGAGAAGCAGGTTTTCAGGATTGTACAGACCCCAAGAAGAAACCAGCTCTACTCTATGGTGGGACACAGGGCCCAAGAATGTGCTCCCTGTCTTGCTGCCTTTTGTGCTTCCAAGGAACATGTCCCTGGGGACAGTCACCAAGGGATTATGAATGAAAAGACTGGAGAACCATGAGAGGGAACTCTCCATGGGTTGAATCATCCATCACTTGTGTGTCTCACTATCTTTGTTCCCATATTAAAAAAAATCTTATGTCTGGCAGGAGGTTTATAAGACAAGGTCTTTTATCTTTTTTTTTTTGCAGGGAAAAATGACAAATCTTTATTGACATACCTAGAAATATATACTGTATGTGGACACAAAGACTCAGCCCATGGAGATTCTATTTTTACTTCAAATTCAACACAATTCCACATCTCACCAAGTTCCTTATTGTTGTGTGGGTTTGGTTTCCAGACAGTGACAGCCTGATCCTAAAATGAAAGATTCGTCAGAATCCTTCCAAAAAAATGGAGGAGCAAAGGGCAAAGAGTAGTCAAGTCACTTGAAGAAAAACTGCAAAATGGGGCACCTTCTAGATTTACAATTTATTGAGAATGGTCATTCAGAGAGTGTGGCATTTGCAAAATAATAGATAAAAGAGACCAGTGGAAAAGACAGGAAGACCAGAAAGAGAACCAAACACAAATGGAAGTGACATTTAACACCAGGGACATTGCAGATCAGGGGGCAAAACTGCCTTCGAGAATGCTGCTGGGCTAGTGCATGTCCACACAGTGGGGCAATGAAATTGGATTCTACTCCCATGCAGAAATGTAGCCCAAGTGGAGTAAAGAACAAGGGCTTTTATCTTAAGAGGGGAAGGAAGCCACGTTCCTCCTCCATTTTACTTCTTGTTAAGTACTCAAGAGTAAGTCAGTCTGTAGTGGGACGTGTTGATTTAGTTTTTAAAGAGGGAGATACTTATTTTCCCCCTATTTTCCCTTCTTGGTGTTAAATATATAAAAATAAGTAAAATAGTCTGCATTTTTATTTTTGAAAATATATTTTCTGAAATACTTAGAATATTTTGGAAATACTTAGAAATATTTAGAATGTTTATAGCTCTGTGTGTGTGTGTGTGTGTGTGTGTGTGTGTGTGTGAGTGAGAGAGAGAGAGAGAGAGAGAAAGAGAGAGGCAGGCAGGCAGACAGACAGACAGACTTACACAATTCTTCCAAAACACTGTCATTTTTTTGGTTTTGTTTTCTGTTTTGTTAATTTATGCTATTTCTCCTCTGATTATTTTAGCTTAGCTTTTTTTGTTTGCTTTTTAAAAAAACTTGTTGCATTAGTTGTTTTTTGTTGTAGTCTTTCTTATTTTTTTGATATTACACTTGTCTATTAATATATTCTCCTTTCAATAACATTTATTGTCAATTCTGGGGGAGGTGGGGTGTGGGTGTGTGTTCCTGCTCTCATTGCCATTTATAAATAGCTTAAAAATTCAGATATTTTTCTTCATCCCAAGAGTTATTTATAAATGTTTTATGTTTTTCCAAATGGATAGATTTTTTTCCTTTGTACTTTCATTCACCAAAATCTATGAAATATAGCCTTTATGATATTATTCTTAGAATTTATTAAGCTTTATTTTCTATCCTCAGACAGGGGTCATTTTACTAAGGATCATGCCAGTATTTGATGGTATCTGTGTTCTATTTGCTCAACCTAAAATTGTCTTGTCAGTAATTTATTCCCAATCATACTGACATGAAGCCAACATCATATACATTATCTAAACTCCACCAAGGCACATAAACTTATTCTATAAAGGGCTGACAGTGAGTCTTCCAGGCTTCCTGGACCCAGATCTCGGTCACCACTATTCAGCTGGTAGGGAGGCAGTGTGTGACTGAAAGGGCATGGATGACACTGACCCAGTTTTAGCTTATGTTTGTTCTATATTCCTATTGATTTTTTTGCCTTTTGCCTGACAGTCACTAAGATATAGTACTTCATAATTTAAAAAGAATAATGTGAAAATTTAAAAATACAAGCACCTGGTCTTAAAGCTCTTTGTAGAAGCTGCTTTTGGTTGTTGGGGGAGAGTGGCCTGCAGCTACGTGGCTAGCCCTTTGCTTCCTTTGCTTGAGAATAATCATCAGTTTTGAGGTGACCAGAGGCAGACACAAGCAAAAAAGGACGGAGACCATGTAATGATTTTTTAATCTAGCACTTATTTTTAAAAGTATCTTCTGTCTCTGGTTTTATATCTAACGGATTAATAGTTAAAAATCTGCCCCTTCTGATATTTTATATGTGGCTTCCTATTGAGCTTGATGTGTTAGGATGATGTTTTTTTTCTCCTGTAGTGAGATTGAAGAGCCACAGAAATCAGCCGCACCCCCTAAGACCTCGGCAGCAGCTCAGCTGGATGAGCTCATGACCCACCTGTGTGGGATGCAGGCCCAGGTAAGCCCTCCCACCTGTGCACATTCTGCTCCGCTTCCCCAGTGGGAACTCAGTTCTGTGTGGTTATTCATTCCACAGACCTTAAAATTAATTTAGCAGATCAACTCAGCCTTGTGCTTTGTCTTACCTGAGTAGGAGAGATAAGGTCATGATGGCTTTGACCTCAAGGAGCTTGGTGTTTAGTAAAATGAAGCAAACACTGCTGTTAAAAACAGGTGTTTGCCCATCTGTGGGGAGTGACAAATAGATAAATATTAGAATTTTATCCGAATAGATAAATATCAGAAACAAGTTTTAATGTCAACAATAAAGTCTGGTAGTTTTCTTATTATTCTGCATATCTGCAAATACTAGCAAAACACCACCAGTTGGATTCTTAATGGTATTTTGTACTCTAATTGATTTAGTGTATGTCTTTTTTTTTAAGTAATAAATTTTATTTTTATATTCCCCATACAATTTCAACCCCCCCATTTTGACCCCAATTTATTTAAACTGAAAAACAATACCGGTGTATTTCTTGAATTAGCCATCCACTCACATGAACAAAAATTGGAAGTGCAAAAGTTTATACTCAACTGCACCCCATCTACTCTGTCCCTAGTCATCCAGTTCTGTCCCCTGGAGCTAGGCAGTCTCTCCTGCATCTTGGGTATCTGTTCAGAAGTGTCTGGAATATACAAGCTTGTAACTGTAGGTGTAAATGTAGATAAATACATAGCTATATTATTGCGGTTTTTAAAAAGATTTATTTTATTTGTTTATGCATGCAAGAACACCTCTTGGGTGCAGGCCAGAGGTGCAGGGGGGTGAGAGGATTCACCAGAGACAGTGTGGGGAGCAGAACACATGGATCTACTGAAATACGCTGCTGAGTGGGCAAGACAAGAGAGGCCTGCTGTGCCCTATGTGGGTCAGCTCCCTGGCCGGGGATCGAACTCATGCCACAGTGGCCGGCGATAGCTTGATAATGCTGAAACTTTAACCCCTGTGCCACCAGGGAGGCCCTATATTATTGTGTTTTTACTTGTTATTTTTCATACTTAATATCAGTTACCCTCAAGGCCTTTTAGACATTCACCTTTTGCATTAATCTCTTCAACATTCACAAACCTTCTATAATAGAGGAGGAAGGAAATTCGTCAGATGACAAAAATTTCTTGAAGACGAAATGAATTCTTGAAGGGTGAGATAATGTGAGCCTCTTGCTGGCAGTAAAAATAGGGTTGTGGAGGCCTAAAGGCAGACAGTAACTGATCACACTCAGGAGACTCGGGAGCCTGGCAGCCTCGGACAATGCAGGCTCTTTACCAGCAATAAAAGCTGAGATTAGGGAGGTAAAGTGAGGGGAGACGTGGCTGTTGGATGCATGCACATTTGAATGCAATGGTGAGGCGGGACATACTACGTGAGTGGTAGCGGGAGCGCCATTGTTGGAAGGGAGCAGAAAGAATCAGGACGAAAGCCATAAAGTGATGAAGGGTAAATTGGGAGGGTTTTTTTTTTTTTTTTTTTTTTTTTTGGTGGTGGTGGTAACATGAGGCTTTTCTTCTGAATGATTTATAATAACTGTTTTGGAGTTTTGCTTACATAAATCCAGTCCATCACCAAGTCTTATCTGACAGCTCCCCACCTTGTCCCCGAACACTGGTCCAGTCATTATTTCTGGTTCCAGCTGTTACCATAGGCTGCTGTCGAGAGCCTCCATTCCCCTTTCTCTTGCCCACACACGTCCCCATTCAGATACCGCAGGGATCTTATCCATCAGAGTCTTTCATCTTCATGCTTGAAAAGCCTCCTGAACTCGCCCACCACCCTTGGAACGAAACCCAAGCTTTTCCCACAAGGGCCGTGTGTCATCTTTGCCTTTCTCTCCATCCTTCTCTCCTTGCTCATTCTCCACCCTCTCTGTTCTAGCCCCACTACCCTTCCTTCACCTTTCTCCTAAGAAACAAAACTGTTTCTTCTAGGCGCTCGCTTGCTCTCGCGCGCTCTCTCTCTCTCCCACAAATATCTGTGGGGTGTAGGTGTCTAAGTACGTAGCTCAAACATCTGCCCAAATAACACCCCTTTCCAGGACCTTCCCCTCTCTCTCTTACCTCTATCAATACCTCATCCCCCCCTCTGTCTCCTCTAACTTGATAACTAATATCTCCACCCGGCATTACATCACACGTTCATATGTCTAGCTGTTTACTGTCTATCACCATTGTCAACCTCACAAGGCCAGACACACGTGGGGCTTGGGTATTGCTCCATCCCAAGAGCAGGGATGGCACCAACCAGCTGATCAATAAATATCTTGGGGTAAGTGAATGGAGAGAAGATATGATTCATCGTTGACCCGAGGTCATCATGGGCGCCGGCATGGGAACAGGAGATTATCTTCCTCCTCCACTCAGTCTCAGAAAAGGCTCATAAATGGAAGATTTATCTGATTTTGTTCTGCCCAGAAACTTAGAATGAGAGGAAAGCGTTTTCATCAGTGTTACAGGGCAGCTTCGTCCATGCCGGTGCGGAGAGTGAAGGAAAGGGCCGGGGTCCTCAGCAGAGGGGAGCTCCTCGGGTCACGTTGCAGGTGTCCTTGAGGGAAAATGGACTCCTGGCTGGTTCTCTTCACAGTTCTCTCCTTGGCACCAGATGGCTGTGAGGCCAGATGCCAGCAAGGCACACTCGGTGGACAAGAAGGAACACCAGGACTCCCTGGACTCCATGCTGGGGGGTCTGCAGCAAGACTTGCAGGACCTTGGAATTGCCACCGTGCCCAAGGGCCATTGTGCTTCCTGCCGGAAACCCATTGCTGGGAAGGTGGGGGCACCAAATGTGTGTGTCTGTGCGTCTCCCTCTCACCCAGGACGGCTCTATCCCCATCCACTCTCAGTGCTTGTTCTAGTGCTTGTTAACAATTGCTGACGCCTACAGTGCCCTGGACACTGAGCTAAGTGCCTCAACAGTTGCTCCTCATTTACTGGTCCCTTAGCCCTGCCAGGGAGACTCTTTCAGCTACCTTTGTGGAAATGAGGAAACGGAGGCTCAGGGACATTAAATGTCTATGCCCAAGCTGTAGTAAGAGGTAGAGGTGAGACTCGACCCCAGGAGAGTGACCTCTGAGTTTGTGCTTTAACCCCCTTTCTGGGCTGCCTTTACTGAGAAGGACCTTCCCACTGCCCGCCCCCAACACTTGACCCCCTTCTCACTTGACTGACTGCCATTTTCAGCTGCCCTCAGCTCCTATCACACCACAAACTCCTCTTTCAACATCAAAACCATAGTAAAGGGCTTTGAAACCCTGCTGGGCGCGAAAGATGTCCAGACCAAAAACTGCCACTTCTCCCCTCCCCAGAACGACTTCCCGGTCGTGCAATCTTGCCTGTCACTGCTGAGCTCTGGTTAGTCCCCCGCCCCCCGCACAAGGCAGTGGTCACAGGCATTTCCAGGCTTCTCTGCGCACAACTGGCCAGGAAAGTGGACACCCTTTTACTCTCCATCAAACATGGACCCCTGGAGGCAAAGGGTGGGAGAGGCCAGGTCCTGGCTCAGAGCCTTGTGTGTGTGTGCGTGTGTGTGTGTGTGTGTGGGATTGCCCCCTTTTCCTAGACCATGTGGGAAACGTGCCCCAGAGTTGTGCAACCGGCAGGCCCCTAGCACCTCCTGTGGGCCCTGCCAGGATTTCTTCCTTCCTCTAGGTGATCCACGCTCTAGGCCAAGCGTGGCATCCGGAGCACTTCATCTGCACTCACTGCAAAGAGGAGATTGGCTCCAGGCCCTACTTTGAGCGCAGCGGCGCGGCCTACTGCCCCGAGGACTACCACCAGCTCTTCTCTCCACGATGCGCTTACTGCGCTGCCCCCATCCTGGACGTAAGTGGCCCCCGCCCCATGTGCCTGATGGTGTCTGACATGCCGCTGCCTTCTGACCTGCCTGTGGGTTCCTTTTCCAGAAAGTGCTGACGGCCATGGACCAAACCTGGCACCCAGAGCATTTCTTCTGCGCTCACTGTGGAGAGGTGTTTGGGGCAGAAGGTAGGACACAGGGTGGTTGCCAGGAGACCTGCAGTTCTTCCTTGATCTGCCAGGCCCCTGGCTCCAGCTGTCCTGTCCCATGCGGTGCTGGGTGCTGGGTGCGAGGTACTGTCTTCACACCCACTGCAACGTTCATAAATGTTGCTTAGTGTTGTTATTAATACCACAGTGTTCCAAACAACTGAGTTAACTGGCCACGTTATACATTTTGTTTAAAGTGATTTTTTTGAACATCAAAATAATACAACTGCATAGTTAAAAAATTCAACTATTATTTCAAGGGGAATATGAAAAAAGAACTGTCAGCTCAATTATACATAAATAAATTTAAAAAATAAAAATAAAGTACTATTTTAGAATTAAAAAAAAAAGAACAGTCCCTAGCTTTTCTTATCACATCCAAATCCAGTTCTCTCTACAATTTTTTTAGATGTTTCTGTTATCTGCTTGTGTTTTAAAGAATACACTTCTATTACTATAGATTCCCCCCGCCCTCCCATCCAATTTTAACCATTATGTATTCACTTTCTACCAGGGAAGATAAGGATTTAGGATTTTTGTTTCTACCTCGCCCCATGCCAGCATAGTCGCCGCCTCCCACCCCCCCACCTCTCTACCCCCCTCCTCCCCCCTCACCTCTCTACCCACCTCTCAGTGCACAATCTGGTGCTTGCCCAGGTCAGGGCAGTAATCAGCGAGCACAGACTGATGCTCCTGGAAACAGTCCTCACAGAGGAGCCAGGTGGCAAATGGTGACAGCCTACGATGTTCGAGTCATCCAGCCTCTCACGCCTCACTTTCCTCATCAGTAAAATGGGCCGAATAATAATGCTTACCTTATAGGGCCCATCTGAGGATGTTGGAGACAAGACAGGGCCTGACCCAGGAGGCATAGTCATAGCTCATATTATTATTATTGCCATGGTGTCCTTGATTTAAGGCAATTTTTCACAGAAGCTAATATTCGGATCCCTTTATCATTCACTTCATTTTCATTGTGCTTATCACTAATTGATGGGCCAGGACTATGAAATCCTTCCCCAAAATGGTCAGTGCCAACTGGGAACATGGCAGTTCCATTTATTTTTCTTGGAGATATTAATTTTGGAGCTTTCCATCCTCCCTCTCCAGACCGAAATGGCTTCTCCTCAGGCCTGCTGAGAACAGGTTAGTTGGGTTATTATCTTGAGAATCCATTTTACTACATTGCTCTTTGGTCCCCTGTCTTTGAAAGCTTTATAACTGCCTTTGTTTTGGTGGAACACATCCTTTAGTAGCTCCCAAGAAAGAATGAATAGGAGATAAACTGTTGATATTTTGAATATTTGAAAATATTTTCATTCTGTTGTCTCCCTTAACTTGCCTGAGCAGAGATTTCTAGATGGAGACTAATTTTCTTCTTAATTCTAAAGACATTGCCTCACTGTCTCCCAGCTTCCATCGTTGAAAAGTTTTTATTAGGATTTTATTCCTATTCCTGATTCTTTCTAAATGATTCTTTTCTATTTTTCTCTCTTTGCCAGATTTTTCCCTTCTGTTTTGTGAATTGTCTTGATTTTTTTTTTTTTTTGACTTCTTATGTTTGTCTCGAACAAGTGTGACTCATTCATGGAATCAGAAAGCTTCTTTCTTTTTTTTCTTCTGGTATTAACTAAGTGGGAGAAAGTTTTGCTACTTTTTCCTAAATAAAAACTTGGACAGCACCCTGTCTTTTCTGATTAAACATAATACACAGTTCTAAATAGAAAAGCAGTTTAAGACACAAAAGACAAAACTAAGTCCTATGGTTAGTCTGTGTTCTAGCTAAAGCTTCCCACATATTCAAAATGACAGCTGTCCTGTCCCCTGGCAGGGTCACTAAGCTTCAGGAGACCAGGGGTGAGCAGTGGCCTTTCATGTGCCCTTTCATCAGCATCCACCCCCCCCCCTCACCCCATGGCTAAACTCAGATGACCCTGACCCCTTGAGGCTTGAAACAGGGCTGGAAGGAGATGAGACTGGAGGGTGGGGGAGTTCTAACTTGCTCAGCACTGTCATAAATTTGCCTCATGCTCTCTGGGTTTGACAGTTGTTTAACGTTGACTTTTTAATTTGGGGGTATCCTGTTGTGGATTCATGCCAGGTCCAATGGCAAACACTTGCCCACCCCTTCCATGTCTGGACAGGCTCTTCTGCCCTTGTCACACAGATATCTTTGAGATCCATTCCACACAGATATTTTTCCCCATAGAGTTTTTGTTGTTCCCTCTTGGTGCTCTTTTGGAAAGGATTTTGATGGTTCAAGATCATCCCTTTCTCTCTCATTTTCATATATGGATCACAGGAAGCTTGCACCTTTCTCTCTCTCTTTTTTTAAAGATGTATTTATTTATGCATATAAGAGCTGAGGTGCAGGCCAGAGGTGTGGTGTGCAGGCCAGAGATGGAGTGGGGAGCAAAATAGGAAGACTGACTGAAATACACTGCTGAGGGGAGCAGCGGGCAAGAAAGGAGAGGTCTGCTGTGCCCTGTGGGTCAGCTCCCTGGCCGGGGATCGAACTCTTGCTGCAGTGGCTGTGCATAGCTTCATAGTGCTGTGTCTTAACCCCTTGCACCACCAGGGAGGCCCCATGCACCTTTCTCATGCAGTCAGTAGGATGGCAGCTCATTCCCAGGCCCTACAGCCAGACTCTCACCAGTGCACTTTTTCCAGGCATGAATCAAATGCCTTCAACTCTGTCCCATGAATGGTGGGGCACACTTGTCCAGTTCTCTGGGAAGGTGGTGCCCCTGAAGTCCCTATCTTGGCTCAAGTCAACACAAACCACCCCTTTGGAGGGGGCAGCAGGACACCATTGCAGTTTTCTTCCTCTTCCCATTTGCCTGCTAGACCTGTTTTCTATCCTCAGTGTGAGCAAGGAGTTCAAAATTATGTGAGCAGTCCATGCTGTCTGCCTTAAGGGCTGTCTTGCAGCTCAATTTGGAATTCAGTAACTACTGCATCTTGATACTTTATATCTGGCTAGGTGGGTCTTCCTTGCCAAATGCTGCTGCTCTTTGGCTGCTCTTTTCCTCACTGAAGAAGGAGACACTAAAATGCTAATTGGAAGCTCTAAGGAGAGAGGCCCAGCTTGGTGACTGGGAGACTCCGCTGTGTGGTCCTCAGGGAGAATGCTCTGACCATTTTACTGCAGGACCCCTGAATACTAATATTTAGGGTCTTTTATTTTGAGTCGGTTTTACCAAGGACATGTTCTCTCTGCCAGTATTCTGAAAATGAAAAAAGGGAAATGATTTCACCATTCAGCGTGTCCACTTTTATTTAATTCCCATTTTTCCATAGAAAGCTTTACCTTTCCTCCTGGTGCCTAGTATCCCTGGTCATTGAAATGCACCACACTTTGCATCGCCAGAAACAATCCCTGCATTACATGGTGGGATGGGAGAGCTGTGCTAACAACTGACACTTTCAACCAATCCTATTTCCAGTGTTGAAGGTGACTTGATCCATTCAGTCCTGAGCCCCTCTGATGTCGGGGAGCTCAGGACATCTGGAGTGTTATTGGCATCTGAAACTGCCCAAGTTTCCGTCTTTATTTCCGCCAAGCTGGTTGGCACTTTTTACCCACTTTAAATTCTGGAAAATGTCATTGCTATCTCATCAGTGACATCTCCTTTCCTTTTCCCTTTTTCTTTCTAGATACTTCTCTTTTAAAGATCATGTTAGTGATGTTTCATGAGGGAGTGAAACTAACCCACATGTCCTGCCCTTCACCAGCAGGAGACTCCCCCTAAATGTCAGGCACATTGTCATGTATTCTCTTAACTCTTAGTCATCGAATCTCCACCACAACCTCACAGGAGTTATTTTATTCCACATTTTCACTAGTTGTAGATGGAGATACTGAGCCTCTAGGGAGATGAAGTGATTTTCTTAGTCCTACACCTGCAAAGTCAAAGAGTTCATTTGAACTCAGGTCTCATTTCTGCATGTTGCGTGTTTTTTCCCACATCCCCTACATTCCCTGCATCACCATAACTGCCTCTCGACAGAGAGCCAGCTCTCTCCTGCTGCTGGGCCACTTTTCTTTCTTGGTACTAACATGACACATTTTACTGGAGGGTAAATTCGGACACAGTGGCACTGATATAACTCGCTAGCAAAGTGCCTTGTAGTAATTTGCTTGTTCACTGAAGCCTGTTGAGGGCTTTTCACAAACCATTAGGTATTGCATTGCTAGATTGCACTTTATTTAAGCAGCATTTTTCACTGAGATTTAATCAGGAGCATATGAAATGGTGTCATGGAAAATTGATGTTGTATTGGTAGCCACGGGTGTCTGTCAGCCGAGTAGGACAGTCGACAAGTGGAAACTGCCCTTGAATGATTAAGGTGTGGAATCTGCTAGAGAGCAACAGGGTGCAGCCTTATCTGTATGTAGAGAAAGACAAGCCATGAAGAGACATGAGTCAGATACAAAAACAATACACTGTTGACCGGAAAAGTACCACAAATGCAGCTGGCACCCAGTGTTCACTCATGCGCCTCTTCTGATGGATTCTCTGTGACCCCCACATAGCAATGTGACTTTAAGTGAAATCACATTTAAAACATTTATGGAGATGCTGACCATAAAAATAAATCTTTGTTAATCAAGTCAGAAGTTCCTCTTGGACTGTATTTTGGTCTTTATCTTGTTTTCTATTAGAAGGTCCCCTACCATATGGTTAGTTGATTAATTAGGAGGTGTCCTGCCTTACCCCAGTCACATAGTCACACACACAGAGTTTCTCTAATGACAGCCTACCCACCGCACCTTCTGGGAAATTAAATTCATCTGCATTTTCATTTCAGTTCAGAGAATTCCTCTTTCAAACTCAAGTTTCTGAGCCCATCAGGCCCCAGAATCCTCCCTAGGGACTATGTCCTCAGCACCTACGTGTTCCTTTAATTGTTCGTTATCCAGGCCAGGGAGGTGCTTCCTAATTTCCCCTGCGGTGTAGAGCCTCACCACAGTGTGA